TAGACTGAAAGCAAGCGAGCAGGCTTACAGGAAAGCATAAGTCGGGACGAGTTGCAAGCTGTCCCCACATAACGCAGCCTAGCAGTCGTCAGTATGGGAATCTTTCTATAGCATCCTTCTCTGCTTGGGTATTTGGAGACTGTGACATGTCGAGTACGATTCCAACAGGTAGGGGGGTGGTCTGTGATTGTACGTATCCAAGGTTGAAGTCCAAAAATACATTCTCCCAATATAGACGCTGCGAGAAGGTGATAGTGCCAGCCTCAAGGTCTTGTTCAATCTTCATCCCCAGAAAGTAACGGTTCTCCCCCATATCAGTGAGCTCTCATTTCTCCTCTAATTCCTTCTTCCGTCAGCTCACCTTCTCTGTAGTCAACGATGCTCCTCACACATCGTCAGTGTAAGTGTCTGTGATGGTATACTCATCTCCAGGCTTGCCAATGGTGTGTACACATGGGTCTGTCTTTGATGCACGGTATCCAAGGTCTTCATAGGTTTTTCCAAGTGTCTCGAACCAATCATGGCCACCCTGCATAGTCCTATAAATAATATGGACAAGTTTGCACACCTTATCCTCTTGTCCTTCGACTATGTACCCTGAGGGCTGATGCATATAGATGTCTTCTTTTGTCTCACTATTCAAGTATGCCGAAATGAAGTCCACTTGCTATAAGACAAGATCGAGCTTTGCTGCAACAGCAGCCGACATCCATACAGATTCGAGATGAGTCACCACAGCTCAAGTGTCATTATAGTCGAGTCCATACTGTTGAGTATAGCCCTTCTCAATGAGCCTCGCCTTGTCTCTGATCCAGTTACCATCGCCATCCCATTTCATACTATAGACCCATTTACAATCCATCACGTTCACACCTACCGGTCTGTCGACTAGGTCCCACGTATGCTTCATCATATGCATTTGGTATTCCACATCCATAGCTGCCTTCCATCGCTCTTCATTAACATGCAGTGCATCTTGATGATTTCGTGGGATGTATGGGTCAGGTGGATTACCAGAAGCCATTGAAGCACGTGGCTGTTTGCTGTTGGTTGCCCAGTTATTTCTGCTTGCATAGGCCTCAGCCTCTCGTTGCTTTAACATCAGAGATTTGGCAGCATCAGCACTGGGACACATTAAGCACATTGATCGGCGAAGAGTTGGTTCTGTGAGAGCATCTGGCATTTGCTTGATTGGCTCGGTTGGCATAGACATCTTGGTATGAGTAGAAGTGGTGAGTGCAGGTTCGTCCTCTGTCTTCCCCACACTCACACTTCAGTGCGCTGGTCCTTCATCAAAGATGACATCACAAGACACGAACACACGTCCCGATTGATCAAGTACATGATAATTGGACCCTGAGTATCCCAGAAAGGTGCATTTCTTTGATCGATCATCGAGTTTGCTTCCGCCATCTACCAAAACCCCACCAGCTATAGGTTTCTTTGCCCAGCAAATGGATCTGAACACTCGTAAAAATCCCATGTTCTATCATCGCTTCAAGAAACCCTCTGCTGGTACCACTCCAGGATGGCAACTCGAAGGAACAAGGTTTCGCGTGAAGATTGACATAGAGGCAGCCTCAGCCCAGTAGTGGTCAGCGAGGCCAGAGTCACTTAGTAGAGCTCTTGTATCCTCTATGGTGGTGCATAAGGCATGTTCAGCTAATCCATTCTGGGCTGATGAGTGGGGTGCGGTTAATTCTAGGATGATCCCATGCTCCTCACAATATTGTTTCCACTTTACCCCTGCAAAAGCACGATCAGCACATATACGCTTAAGCTTTTGGCCAGTCTGGGTCTCAGCCATGTGCCTGTATCTATCAAAAGCAGCTATGGTAGTGTCATCTGCTTTGTCTGCCAGGAATTCCCCCACCTTGAACGATGTACCACTATCGACGAATATCATCATATAAGTCTTTTCACTCAGTGATGCCATTCGAGACAGTCCCCACATATCTGTTGCAACAAGCTCCAGTGGGTTGATGTTGGGATCAGTGGGCTCATCGAAGAGATGGCGAGCATGTCTCGCTAGAATACAGTCCTCGCAGCATCCCTGGATAGGCTCTGAGGTAATTTCCAAGCCATCCACCAGCTTTTTTGATGCCATCTCCTCGTTTTTTGCAGGGCTCATATGGACAAAATGGCAGTGCCAAGTACTCAGCGAAGTGGGAGATGAGCAGGATGCCATAGCTTAGAGGCTAGGTGCAGCATCCAGCACATACATGCCATCCGAGCCTCACCCAGCAAAGATCTCTTTACCAGACTTATCCTGGACAACTGCATGGCCATCAGAGAACACAGTTGACAACCCAGCCTTGTCTAAGGCGCTTACAGAGATGAGATTTACAGCGAGTGAAGGTGAATGCAAGGCATTTTTGAAGGTGAGCTTAACATCTCTTCCATTCAGTCTGAAGACCTTTGTTGCTGTACCCTGGCCCAGGATCTCAAACGTTCCCTTTCCCTCAACTGCAGATGAGCCAGTATGGAAAGCTACTAGCGTGTACTCTGTGAAGTTGTCACGATTCCTGAAGAAGTAGTCGCTCATGCCAGAATCCATGAAGGTTAGAGTGATGGCTGGGGTATGGCCTTCGAACGTAGTCATGACAAAGGCTATTGTAGCAGGGTCAGCCTCGCATGTAAAGTGTTCTACATTCTCAATGTTGGCCTTGCTAGTGTCTATACTCTTGACAGAAGGTATCTCATCGTCTCCAGCAACATCTTCATCATCAGAGTCATCAACGTCAGTGAGAGGAGGCATTTTGAGGTCTGTCTCTTCTTCAACCTTCGACATCAATATAGTGCTGCTCTCTGTTTCATCCCAGCACCAGAAGGAATGGGTATCATTTCACTTATATATCCTCTCACCAGTGCTGCCATCCTCAATTACAATGCCGTCATCATTACAATCGGCTTCCACTGTAGTAGCACGTGCAGCAAGTACAAAATGCCTCATAGTATTGGCTGTGGTGTTCGAGATTGCCTGGTTTGCACGGTGAGGTCAGCCAAAGTTGGCAGGGAATTGTCCCTCCTTTCCCTCTCTTGGCCAATAATAATTCTCAGTGGTGTGTCTAGTCTTATCACAGGCCTTGCAATCTGGATTGCAACATCCACATACCACGACAGAGGTTCTGACTCCAGCCGCAAGTGCTTGGGAGTTGGCAGGATCTTTACCCACTGCACAAAGTATGGCGGCATGGGTTTGGAGATGGGAAAACATATCAGAGGACGTTGGCATGCCATATAAACTTGGGAGAATAGGCATCCAGTGATCAGTCAGGATTATCGAGCGAATAATTATTCTCTTGAACTCCTGATCACTCAATGCTGTGGTTTGGAGGTCATTCACAGCTCGTCATTTTGTGTGCAGGTCGGTGATATGGATATTGATGTCACTGTTTCCATCAAACTTCGCCGCATTCAGCAATGTCTCAGCCTCGGAAAGGGCCATATCCATTTTCTTTGCATGTTCCGCAGCAATGGAGTCCCAGCATTCCTTTGCCGTTCCATCAGTCTTGACCCCTAGACCAATGGAGTCAAGAACGTTGAGGATGATGTTCAAGTGGGCGAGCTGATCATGAAAGACCCACTCATCATATGAGGGAGAGGATGAGTATATGGGAGTAGGGTCTGGTGGGAGGGGTGTGGTAGTAGCCGTGGCTGTGGTAGTGGTGGTGGGAATGGCAGGACAGACAGTAGTTTCTGCAATGTATCCCCATAGGCCTTTTTCCTTCAGTAACTCAGTAAGTTGGAGTTTTCATGAGGCGTAGTTCTTCCCGTTGAAATGGCTACTCATGTCAGGGAGGATAGTGACTCCCAACATCGACGACATCATTTAGGGGTGTGGTGTAAAGTGGTGAGGGTAGTGGTATGGTATAAATTCAAGCGGTAAGTTGAGTCGAAATTCCGTTGCATATTCTTCTTGACTGAGTAGTCATAGGCAATGGGGCCTCATAACCTATTGACAGAAGAATATATGTGAGTATCTACGAACAAGTGTAAGTATCATAGTCATAAGCACAGTAGGGATATACATACCTCAGTCGGGCACAACGTGGGTGAAGCAACTGAGGCATACAGATAGGAACAGCTGGACTATATAGATGATCGGGAAATGACAGGAGGTGTAAGTATATATAAGGCAAATAGAGTGAGTGATCAAAAGTAAGATAAGATGAAACGTACGGATATCCTCCAACATGCTTTTCTAGTAGCATTCAGCTTTTTGTGTTTCACTGCATCCAGCTTATCCAACTGGATGCTCCTGGATATCATGTGGATCCTTATCAGTGTTCTCATCCTTTGGTGCATCATTGTGTTTTGGGATGTCAAACAGCAGTATGGCCGGAATACATGGAAACTCCTATTTCCAATCAAAGTTTGGCAACAATTTCTCTCCATGATTTCAGTGAACATTATGAGTCAGACAAAAAGAAGACCTTCCTTGTCAATATGCTCAAGGGATGAGGCCACTGCAGGTGTATGAAGGAAGAAGCAGCAAGCAAGTAGATGGATGTTCATCAGTGCTTTCATAATATATCTGCTTGTGCTGGCCATGACTAGGTTTTTGGATTGAGTGTTCCCTTTATCACTTAATGTTCCCTAAAAGCCTTAGACTTTTCACAAATTCATCTCAATATCTTCTCTCATAGTTCATACCCCTGTAAGCTGCCACAACTACCCAATCTAATGAATATATCATACAAGTTGCCTGTCCTTCTTGCTTGCACTATAGATGTTATGGACTTATTTTGTGAGGATGCCATCACTTCATGGGTTGCTCATGATACTTATTTTGTCAATACCTAACATTATATGCTTTTCGCGAACTGAAATTTGGATGATCTAGAACATGCAAGAAACAATGCATCTTGGTTTTGATGGCACAAATTTCAGTCCACTGTGAGAGTTGATTACCCTTTTTGAATTTCACGATGCGGTCCGGCACCATCCGAATGTAAGGTCTAGGAGAGGTAATTGCACGAAACAAAATCACCATTACTCTCTACCATCACCTTTCCGCTATGTGTTCCATCGCTGGAGGGGCCATCTTCATTAGCCAATTCACGGCACTCGCAACCTTCTTTTCACTTTACAGTGTTTCAGAGTCGCCTTAAATGCAAGAAACGTCATCGCGCAGGCAAGGCATACATAACACATTGTTTCCACAATGACAGTCACTTCTATAATTTCAAACTCATCGGATAATGCTTCACGCGCACGTGCTTGCCGTCTACACGCTGCTTCGTGCTCTGTACAACGACATCCTCTCGCTTTGTCCTCAGACGACATCCATGTTGTCCCTTCAGTGGTTGTTAAAGGCGTTACAGAGGGCCTTTCGTAACTACCCAGGTGGCTGCTCGCTATTAAAAGCTATTATTTCATTCTGGGTTTTCTTGAAGCGCCGCTTACGGGGTTATTCGCGGGCTTTTCACGACAAAATGTATGCAAAGGGTCCGCGACCTATTAACGACCAAGCCTCTAGTAAACTCCGTGGCGAAAAGCAGAAAAGGTGTATAGATAAGTTCCCGTATGACGGTGATGTAGAGAAACCAACATCAGTCGTCGCAACACAAGATTCTCCCCCCATTTTCTCTCTTCCTGACCTCTCCTCTCTGCCGGACTCCTCTCCGGCATCTGAAGGGCATTCAGTTCCCAATGCGGGGCCATCTGGACATCTGAACTCTACATCCCATTGTCCGCAGGGTTGCCCACCTTCTGCCCATGCGGCACGGAATTTTAATGGAGCGGGCCCTACGACCTCGACGGATGTCCGACCGCTCCCTCCGATCCCCATACAAGACGAAGTAGAAGAGACCAATAATCTTCTAGGTCGTGTTCCTGGGTCACCTACTACATTGTCTGTTATTTATCCTTCCTTTTGGCCACTGGCACCCGAACAAATTCAGAGATATGAAAGAGAAGTTTTCATGTTTGTGTCTCTTTCTGTGTATATTTGTCTTGCCTTTACTGATATGTACGACTCAGAACACTGGATGAAACCATGTACTGGATTGATCCTTTGACGACCTTGTTTCCTCCGTACGTTCGGGTTCTTTCCAGACTCCGCATCTCATGTTTTCTATGTTAAGCCATCGTGTTCAGGACGGTTGGGTGCCCTTCGTGCACCCCGAAGGTGCTCTCTATTGGTTTCATCAGGCGAAGGTATATCCAGGAATTGTGCTCTGGATGGCTTCTGATTATCCATAATAGAGGTCATTTACCGGTGTTAATTTGTGTGACCGAGAGAAACTGCAACACATCACGAAGTTCATGGACGATATCTATGAATACATTCGTGTGAACGCTATAACAATACCAGAAAATGTCGATCTCGTGTTTGAGCTCGTCCGGGATCCGGACAACGACGAGCAGTGTTGTGCATATTACTTTGCAAGCCACGATACTCGTTCCGTTTTCTGGCTGGATGATTTCGATATGAGTTACCCCAACACATGGGACGAGGTCAAAGGCGTTACCGAACCTTCCCATGTTGGCCTTGAGATAGAGGCCCAGTATTGGTACACGCCCACCCATCATGTGCTTATTTTGTGCTGACAGTGACTAGGTATCACTGTCAACTGTTTCCGACTTGCATGGAAATGACTATGGGTATCATCGAGGAGCTCAGAGATATCTTGATTTATAATATGGGAGGTAGGTTTTCTTTGCCGAAAGTGTTATACTGCGTATATTTTGTCACCCTTCAGATACAATGACGTCGCCCTTATCAACCTCCGTCTATGGCGTTTCCGAGCTACAAGAAATCATCGGTCTCACGAATTGTATCGAGAGTAAGGATTCAGCGCTTCCATACGTCAATCCTTTACAGTGTCTCGTCTAGAATCTATTACATCTGGACGGCCTCAACGTCCAGGATCCGTGGGCAGTATTGGTCAGAAAAGGCCCTTCATTGTCACAAACCAACATACACTAACCATTCGAAAGGCCGCTTTATGTTCATTTTTTGTGAGCCGATATCTGTGACTATGAGCTATATCTGACTACGTTCTAGTGAGGAACCGATTCATCAACTTCCATGGTCAGCCTGGTGCCCGGCTTGCGCGCGATCAGTTAATCTATGGGACGCCGTCCAAACGGACCCTACTTGTCTCCTTCCTTTCACCGTTCCTATTCTTTGCACCCGATATTAATCTGGCTACTTTGAAAAGGATCGGGGGTGACGGATATGTCCACACCCACAAGGCATCTTGGAGTAACTTCACTGACAAGCTCAGTGCTGAATGGCAAGAAGTTACCCTCTATGTGAGCATCGCATAATATACATATACGGCGAACTTCTCTGACACAATCCAGGCTACCGTTTTACTCCCTGCCAACGTCGCTTTCCTGGCTATCCAGAGTGTCGACGATGCTAGTGCTAACGGAGGACGATCACCCGCACAAATATCGAGTTATGTCTCGATGATTGCGAGCATAGGTAGTATCTTCTTGAGCACTCGTATGAGGGCTCATGACTCGTCCAAAGACTCGGCAAGTGAACGCTCCTTCACCTCAGTATACGATACTCATGTATTCCTTAGCGATTCCTGCGCCTGCGAAAACGAAACAATAGAAGTATGGAGATTCTGGCCATTATGTACAGCTTACCTACTGCCTTACTGATGTGGGCGTAAGTATCTCTTCGCTTGGTGTTGTCCGCACTCTGACCCGAAATCAAGTATGGTCTTCTTCCTGGTCGCGTTCAGCATAGTCTGTTTCACTGCCTCCAGTTTATCCGACAGAATGCTCGTGGGCGGTGCATGGATTCTTATCGGCGTCCTCATACTCTGGTGCAGCATTGTGTTTTTGGAGGTCAAGCATGTGTATGTTCCTTACATGTCCAAACTCGCAGTGCTGGTCAAGTATTGGGACCGATTGCCCATAAATCTCGCGAAGAGATTTCATACACATCGGATGAAGACACGGCCGCCGATGAGCTCGGTGGACGAGGCAGCAGTGGATGTTTAATTCTTAAGGGAGTGGAGGAGCTGATGATTCCGTACCAGAGTCCCGTAGCGCTTTTTAGGGTTGTAATTATCTGCTCGCGCTGTGCGCTGGTAAGTCGAATTAATGTATATCCTGATCTCCAGAATTGCCAGCCCACATGAGCATTGTTTGCATGTCCAAATGAACCACGTCCTGACTAGGTGATGGCCATCATCAGAACATTTATATTTTGGCATCATGCGTAGTATTTTTATACTGGTCTGTCTATTAACAATACACATTGTATTTTACTGCCTAAAGGCTGCTAAAGTCGCCTCACGTGTCTACAACTTAGCCTCTTCGACGGCCTCGGCGACTTTCTTGTCAAAAAGTGCCTTGGCTTCAGTCCACACTCGCGCGTTCTTCCGGTCAGGAAGCTGGAGCAAGGAGGGAAAAAGGTCTGAGCTGAACTGTTCTGAGGCTTCCCGTGGAAGCAAGGAAGGGAGGTGATCAATGGATACCACTGACAGTGGTGGATTTTCAGTCCTGGAAATATTAACTGGTCAACGATCTCGTGGACGTATCCGTGTAAAAAAAGACTGCTCACCCGACGTCAACAGATACTGTGGGCGAAGAGAATGTTGAATTAATTGTATATATGGGAATCGGGTTGAAGGGATTGGTAGTATCGCAGCTGACATCGACAACTGTCGACAGCCGCCGTCCTTTTCCGGCGGAGATGAGCTGTTCACGTGTCAAGAACGGGGGAGTCTTGGAATTGAGATAGATGCAATTGACGAAGATGTCGGCATCAAGAATCTCAGAGAAGGGGCCGCCCTTTGCAGTTTCCGCCATGTCCCACTTGAGAATGTCGTCCCTGGATGAGAAGATGAGTCACATTGTCAGAAACTCGGTAGAGATACGTACTCGTCCAGACCGATCTTTCTAAAGAGGTCAACAGCGCCGCGTCCACACCTTCCCAGAGCGCCAATAATCAGGGCCTTGACACCCTTGCCACTGCCACCTAAGGCGGTCTTGACGGCGTTAATCATCGCGTCTTCATTCTCGAACGACGTGAGATGTCCAAGTTTTTCGCCCCTTCTCTGTGATGCGACCGCGAGAGCACCAACAGCTGCCCCTGCGAAACCAGCATGATAACCAAAGGCCGCAACCCGACGACCGTTGGCATCCGTCAAGAACTCTATGTCGTACAGGGTTCCTCCACCACGGTGGAAACGCATCAATATGTCGACCCACCCCTCTTGTCGCTTGTAACAGTGTGCAAACTGGATATGACTATGTGGGATAGGGTCTGTGGACTCGGGCAGCGCTTTCAATCCAATGATTGGGACGTTCACCGGTGCCGATGGCCAAGTATTATTGTCCACCAGCTTACATCCAACACTATTATAGCAATGAGTGAGGAAAAACCGAAGACACAATATCTGCACTAACGCTTCGTATTCAGAGTCATTAAAAATTCGTTGCGTATCCCGTTCAACAAAGATTTCGAGACCGGCATCGATGAGCTTTCTGGTGGTAGCTGGTGTTAATGCAGTTCGACGTTCGAACTCTTTCTTTTCGCAGCGAAGCCAGAGAGTGGGCTTGGACATTTGGGATGAGATGGCAGATGGTTGAGAAAAAGTTGTGACTCGATTCTTGACTCGATCGGTGTTAAATAACCAATTTCGATCAAAGTTTTGCCACGGTTATCATCTAAGTAGGGATATCAAAATGTACGGCTGGATATCGATTGCTCCTTTTCATGGGAAGAAAGGCTTACCAGGATGGATAATGCCCGACAACTACCGTCCAAATGAGAGGAACGTATTTTATCAAAAAAATGAGATGATCGAATCAGGCAGGGGACAGAGAGTCTACAGAATAATGACTTGGACGCTGTTACAGCACAAATGTGTCGTTCGTCAACTGAACTTTGAAGTATCACATTGCGCTGTTGATGATATACGAGAAACCTTGTGTGTGTAGTTTCTGCCTGAATTAAATCGAGTTCAGGATCGAATTTGTGGCCTGCAAGTACGGTTCAAGGTGTGACCAAGACAGAAGCAAACTTGGATAAGTATTAAGGTCATTAAATATTTTGCCGGAAATGCCGGCCTGATACATCCGCTACCCGGAAGAACGGTCCGTATTCTGCCGACGGGTCGATTTCCGATCCCCACTTATCAAGTACTACTATGGCTCTGGCCCAGTTGTTGCGTCCCTCGAAAGGTGTCCTTGGGACAGTATCGTCACCGTGAATTTTCCCATATTTTTTTCGTAATTCTGTGACGCACCCGTGCCTAGGATTCCTCAAGGATCACAATGGGCCTCCATGTACAACCCCACCCCAACCCGGCCTTTGCTCAATCTCTCCCAAGGCGTACCGGGAACAGCACCGGAAAAGATGTTGCGAGATGCCATAACCGCTTCTTCCGCGTCCGATGCCTGGGGATATTGTATCGCTGAAGGAGAAGGCGTGTTGAGGGAAGGCGTAGCCCGGGAGATGAGACAAATTTATCGAGAGGGGGATGTTGACGCGGATGTGAATGCAGAAGACGTGGCGATAACAGCTGGCTGTAATATGGCGTTTGTTGCTGCGGTAATGGCCCTCGCAGACAACGGCGACGAAGTCATCTTGCCGATTCCTTGGTGAGTACCTTGTATTTCTTCATTATTCGAATTTCTCATTCCAACTTGAACTTTAACAGGTACTTCAATCACCAGTGCGTTGATTCGTATGGTGTAAACCTTCCTAATGAAGGACACATAGAATGACTTTGACTCTCCTCGGGATAACACCAGTGTCCCTACAGACGTCGGCTGAGGATGGTTTTTTCCCGTCTGTAGAGAAATGCAAAGGCCTCATAAACTCTCGTACAAAAGCAATTGCTCTTGTTACGCCAAATAACCCGGTGCGTATGAAAATCCTGCAGAGTGACGCTGCTGACATACATCCTCTAATTAGACAGGCGCTTTCTATCCCCCTTCCTTGCTCTCACAGTTTTTTGCACTGGCAAAAGAACACAATCTCGCACTTATCATCGACGAGACTTACCGAGACTTCATCACATCCGGCCCGCCCCATCCCCTCTTTTCATCGTCAAATGGCTGGCGCACGACCCTCATACATCTCTTCTCTTTCTCCAAGTCGTATCGGATCCCAGGATATCGCCTTGGTGCACTGGTCGCTGCCCCCTCGTTATTGAAGGAGATTAACAAAGTCCTTGACTGTCTCCAAATCTGCGCGCCACGTGCGCCACAGCTAGCTCTAGGGCCTCTACTACCGAATCTCAGAAATTCGGTAAGAGAGATGGCTGAGCAGCTCGAGAAGAGGCATGCGTTGTTCCGAAAAGAGCTTCCACCGGCGTGGAAGGTTGGCGCAGCAGCAAGAGGGGGGTATTATGCATTCGTACGGCATCCCTTCACCAATATCGGTGCGGGCGAGGTAGCCAAAAGGCTTGCGGTGGAACTAGGGGTTGTCGGTCTTCCTGAGGGTTTTTTCAAAGACGGAGACGCCAGTGATGGCAGGTGGATAAGGTTCTCGGTCGCTAATGTGGACGACGAAAAGATTGTAGCTGCATGCAAGCGCCTCAAAGAAGCAGAAGACATCTTCGGGTGGGAGATAGACGCGAGTAATTAGAGATATAGAGTTTATTTGACCGGTGACGAATCTAGACAGCGAAAGCGCGTCAAATTTAACTTTACCGAAGGAAAATATCGCTCAATGTGGAGTGATCGCCGGCCCGGTAGACGCATTTACACCGGGCCGATAGTATCGGAGTTGGGGTATAAAGTTCGCAGAGCCCCCCACTTCCGTTCATTCCCATCCACCTTGACCATGTCCTTTGGAAAAGGGGTTCCCCTAGGTAGCGAATACACCATTCCCCAGATCGGTCTGGGAACTTGGCTCTCCAAACCCAAGGAAGTCGAAAACGCCGTATGTTATTACTCTTTTCCTGATCTTCCAACTGATGATTGATTGGTTGATTACAGGTCGAATACGCCGTGAAGAATGGCTACCGCCATCTGGATCTCGCATACATCTACGGCAACCAAGATGAAGTTGGTGCCGCGCTGAAGAAAGTGATTCCCAGTGTTGTTAAGCGAGAGGATCTCTTCATCACCTCCAAGCTCTGGAACACCGCTCACAAGCCTGAATTGGTGGCGAAGGAACTGGATATCACCCTGAAAGAACTGGGAACGGATTACTTGGATTTGTATCGTGCGTAACTTATGACCACCCGATCTCGGACCGGAAATTGATGGTCATGCAGTGGTCCATTGGCCCGTCGCTTTTGCACCCTCAGATAAGGTTAGGGGACTGGAGCCTCCCAGTCTAGAAGACCCAAACTTCGTGGAGCTTGACCTGGAAACGACAATCGTTGAAACTTGGAAAGCAATGATCACACTCCCAAAATCCAAGGTCCGCCGTATTACGATGTTTGTCATCCATTCCTGTTTCTCATCCGTGCACACTGGCAGGTCAGAGCCATCGGTGTGTCCAATTTCAACGTAGAGCAGCTCGAGGGAATCACCAAGGCGACTGGGGTCGTTCCGGTGAGAATGGTGTATGATTTCGCTTGATCAACAATATTTATATCCAATTGTTTCCAGGTCGCCAACCAGATCGAGGCACACCCGTATCTACCCCAGGATGATCTCGTCAAATACTGCAATGAAAAGAATATCCATATCACAGCCTACAGTCCCCTTGGTAATAATAGTGAGTCCCTCATCATTCTGCTGGAAAGAAAGGACAGACCCACGACTTCGTGCAGTGTTCAACAGGCCAAAGCTAACCGAACATCCCGTCATCACTGAAGTTGCCAACAAGCTTGGTGCCACCCCAGCCCAAGTTTTGATCGCGTGGGGCGCGTACCGAGGATACTCGGTCATTCCCAAGAGTGTACAACAGGAACGGTTGGTCTCCAACTTCAAGCAGGTGGAACTCAGTAAGGAGGACTACGAAAAGATTTCGAGTCTTGGTGCGAAGGAGTACACAAGGTTTGCTTTTCGCTCTGACCACGTTAACACGCTCTTGACCTGACGCATAGGTTCAACATTCCCTACGCCTATTCTAAACCCAACTGGAACGTCAATGTCTTCAACGAGCCTGAGGAGCAGTCGGCCAAGTACAAGCCGAACCTTGGAATCTAATAGGATAGCGGTGACGGAAAAGAAGTCAAATAATGTGAATTATGATGTATCCTAACTTGTAGTTGCTATCTTGGATTCCCTTGATGTGATATTATCGCGATTAGTAGGGTTGCTTCTGGACAGCAGCATCAATAAACTGTAGGAAGTTTGTGAGATACCATACCTATTCTCTTTCTCTTTCAAATCTCTCACTTGGAATACATCGATCGATGAGAAGCAGTCATCGTCGTCATAGCTATTTGTCTGTGGTGACTGATAAGCGGGGAAAAAGGAAGAATGACAAGAGTTTCTCACCACCATACCCAACACACGATTCTCCCTAAATTGTACAATAGCTTCATTATAACCGACAGATCCATCAAGGATTATCTTGCCTCCGCTACCAGTAGGCTGCGGTCCCGCACCCCACCAGCTACCAAAGTCGTGGATCCTCAAGCGACGGTCTTTCGACAGTGTGGCATACCAAGATCCATCCACCATCGACTCGCCCGAGAATCCAGTAAACACCTCAACCTTACCCTCGCCCCACTCCTCCCATGGGATAATCACGCGACCCACACCGCCCATGTCTCCGATATACTGCCCAACAGACACGTTCGGGAACATCGGCGGAGCGGAAGCAGAGAAGGAACGCAAGGTTTCGCGGTGGATGGCGATATCGGTAGACCGTCCGAACGCGACAACGCTGACAACAACGATATTAGAGTCGATGGAAGAGAAACAGTTGACGGAAGGGAAAATGATGTCTGGCTCCCCTTCTGGAGGAGGAGGAAGGCGCTGAGGGTATGCGGTATAAACGCTGTTTTGACTTATAGGCGGTAGGAGGTCCGTCGATATCTTAAGTGTCCGGATGGCTGCAGTAAGCTTTGGGTAGGGCCGGGTCGTGGTGGCGGAGCTACTCGGCGGGAGTGTTAGAATGTTCACCGCCGCGCTGTTGCGACAAGCAACGGCAATGGTGTCTTCCCGAAGAAAGACGAACGTGGTTCCTTGGGAGCCTCGGGGGCACCGGTCTTCCTGTACACAACTAGTGAGAAGAGAACAATAACATGCAAAATAAGGGCATACCAATCTGCACACGCCCGTCTTCCAATCATATACGCGAAGGGTCGACTCCTCTAGTTCGTGAACGCGAATACCAATAAGATTGTTATGGATATCAATCCAGGCAACAGGCGAAGCTTCATCGTTACGGGCTGCTATTTCGAAAGGAAACTCTTGGGTCGCAGCGCCCGGCATGAGTACCAGCTTCGGAAATCGCACTATTCTAAGACGCATTCGCAAGGTCCCTTCCTTGGACACAGGTTCGTCGAACCTGACAGCATGTCAGACAATGAATGCAGCATGAGCCTTGTCCCGGTGTCTCGTACCAAGTAATGACAGCTAACAATCCATTCGTCTCATCCAATCTGAACGTCCGAATTTTTTCACGGGGCTCCAAAGGAAACTCGAGAAAAGACCATCCTCCGTGTCTCTGCTGGCCAGAGTTGGGCAGTGTCGCAAACCGAATGTCGCAAGCCCTGGGTCTGTCAAGCTTTTCCACTGTCGGCAAGTCACGGTCGGTCTTGTCCTCGACGCCGACGAGTACGAAATGACGAGTCACTTGACAGAGATCCATGGCAAGCAAGGAGTAGTCCACTTTGACGGGTATACTGGCAATTTTGGGAGAGAGCATCATGTTTGAATTTGAGGGATCAATTTTGGTCGACATGGATATTTATGTTGAGCAGGGCGCATTGCAAAGATTATTATGAAGAGAAATATAAAGCGAAGAGTCGCCCCTTTATAGGAAGGAGTGGCAATCACTTTTTAGGCGAACAATAGGGGACCGGCCGCCGGCTTTACCCGTAGTGTAACTCAATCATTTATTCAACCTTATTAGATCTCGATTCCTGGAAGGAACGCGCCTTGATCATACATTTAAAAGGCAGAAGGAAGAGAGCACCGTCAGGCAAAGATCTACGAATGACACAGAAAATCTACCTTATATCCACCATAAATAAGTTGTCGCTATGTTCAATGACACGACCATCGGAGTCAAATCAGTCTTTGAAATAGATGGCGTCGGTGCAATGGCAATCCAGGCCTTATTCAAAGCGATGTACCTACCACGGCAGAGACTACAGAGGAAATGTTATGCTTGGTAGCGGTGCATGAATAAAAACACGAGCAATCTACCATAGCTAAATGCAGTTATGGATCAGGAGAAATTTCCTTGCCGTCTTTCGTGAAACGTTCGGGATGAATACTATAATATTTGGATGGTCCTTTTCATCGCAAAAAACTGCCCTGTAATATTGATCAGATGACAATTATACGTGGCCACCGGGCTAACATGCAGACACTATACGACTAGAGTTGCGCATAAAGAAACTGCGCGTTCAAAGCCTTTGTGACACTGAGACTTACCACCGGGAATGTGATATTCTTTGTATGTGCCGAGCACAGGTCTTCAGGACCACAAGCAATGGGAGCTATCATTGGAAACTATTACTCATGGGCAAAACGAGGGTCCATTTCGGTGTTTCAAATAACTTACAATGGCGCCGATACAGGGAAGTTGGGAAGTTGTGGACGATCATCAAAGTTTGGCAGGCGGGTTTGGCACACCACCGCATCCAACATCTTGGCTTGTACTTCGGGATGAAGATTCTTCGACTTCTCAATAGTCCCACGTGGAGGATCAAGTCGTTCTCTCTTCGGCCTTTGCACTGAGAAGCGTAACCTTCTTTCTGTTCCTAGTACTCATCCTTGATTTATTTCCATTACATAGATAAACAAAAGCAGGACATACTACGTAAATTGAATAATACAGAGGCAGACGTGTTCCCGAATGCTTCTTAGGAAGATTATGACGATGAAACGAAGTAGAAGCATAACTAGACGGAGTAGTCTCGACACACGAGTGGTCGCCGGAAGTTATTGACAGAACACTCTTCAAGGACTTCTACAAATAAACAGGGGAGTTGACCCCACAGAAGCAAAAAAAGGGCACTCGCTAGATAAGGTATCCTATGAGACCAAGCAGAATCTGATCTTTCCGGCAATCCCAAATGAAAAGGAAAAGAGTGATACCCGTCCCGGACGTACAGAATCCATGAATAGCTGACATAAGAACGAAGAATTATTATTGCCCTCGCAATATTGAGATAGATCCTGAATGAACGTAAGTAGACCACCATGCATGCAAAATATGGCGCCGTTCGGCCCCTTGGAATATGAATGACAAGAAAAATCGTAAACAATCCGAAGACAGGCCAAGCAAAAGGCCGGATTTAGGTAGCAAAAGCATCGAGTTGGCTTCTTATCTGTTTGTCTTGTCAGATAGCTAAACATCTCTCGGCATCCGCAAGCCAGATCCTTGGAGGTGTGAACGACCAATATCGATCTATAAGCCTGCGTTCGAGGACGCGGCATTTGTTATCACGGCCTGACGAGTTCACCTGTTGACTGTATCCAATAGACCGTCACGAACTGCAGTGCTAGAGTAATACAACAGTGTACTAAATGTAGGATATCAACAACGACCGTCACTACAAGAAATTGGTGCTTGCCCTTGTTGCTGCCTAAGCGCAAATCCTCTCCATAGGTGCCCGGTTCTAGTCATGATGTCGGTTGCTACCAGAATCAACAGCATCGCTGTATACCAACAAACGCTGAAAGATATACTAATTCGGCACTCTCTGTCTCATTTACTATTCGTATACGAGAGTGCCGCTATGAAGTTGCCTTCGGTATGAACCACCAGTAGAAAGCAAGTATGTTCGGTCGGGCCGAATCAATGTTTTTGGTCAACATGCGCAAATACGTGCTTAGTCATCATTCACGCAAACGAGCGAACACGTCGATACTGCATTCAGACAATCCTCTTCCATCCCAGTCGCCGTCTGTGTCAACCATGAACGTCTTCCGGTTGTTTGGTACGTCCTCTAGAGAAATTTTTTTCGGCGTGTCGCCACTAATAACGAATCACAGGCGACCTGTCTCACTTGGCTTCGATTTTCATACTTTTGCATAAAATACGGACCACCCGCTCGTGTCGAGGTGCGTGGGCTGCTCCTTTCTATATGTGTACTCTAATGCTTTCTCTTGCGTAGGTATATCATTCAAAACTCAAGCACTCTATGTCGGCATATTTGTCACACGTTATCTTGACCTCTTGTACCGCTGGGTCTCCATCTACAACTTTGTGATGAAGGTGTTCTTCATTGCCAGCAGCTGCTACATCCTCTACCTCATGCGATATCGCTTTCGGTGTGTATCGCGTTGGCGGACCCAGTTTTCGTACTCATGGACGCGTATAGACCGACCCACGATCCCTCTATAGACACCTTCCGCATCGAGTACCTCTTAGGACCATGTGTCCTCCTCTCTTTCATCTTCAACTACAAGTTTTCTTTCACGGAAATCCTATGGTCGTTCTCCATCTTCCTCGAGTCCGTAGCGATCCTTCCTCAGTTGTTCATGTTGCAACGGACAGGCGAGGCTGAGACGATCACAACCCACTACTTGGCTGCATTGGGCATTTACCGTGCATTGTACATTCCTAATTGGATATACCGGTGAGTTGGAGTGATCTCTGGTCTTCTTGTACTCGTGGTTTACACATGGCATGTAGCTACTTTACAGACGGCGTTGTCGATCCCATAGCCGTGACAGCTGGAATAGTTCAAACTGGGCTCTACCTTGACTTCTTCTATGTATATTTCACAAAGTACGTGTTCTCTACTTTGAGTTGCAATATATACTGAAACTGCTTATCTAGGGTATTACAGGGCCAGAAGTTTGAGCTGCCGGCATAATTTATGAGCTTTCACGGAAGGATGTGGGGGTGGCGAATTATGTGGAGTGAGTGTCTCATGGACCGGCGACTGGCTCACTTGCGCTTTGAGACCATCTCTTCATATTCTCTACTTTTCCAGTCTGGTCGGGAAAATTAATAACGACGTTGTAATCTGTCATATATCAGGGTCTCAGAGCACCGATCGTCGCAAGTTCACATTGAGCTTGCCTGTATGGTGCCAACAATCAACATGGTCCGATCTTGGGCCAGAACAAAGTCCTTTAGAAGAGTATATATATAAAAACTACAGGTTTGCAGATCTTTTCGGAGACCTGACGTTCAGACCGCTGCATACTTGACGGCCCAATAGATGTAGCTAGCTGTACGCTATAAACAGACTATTCGTAGGAGAATATTTATGAGACTCGTGAGTAATCGGATACTCCAGCCAGAAGAACACACAGAATTGGATCACATAGATCGCAGTAACCGCCACCTTGGATACGTTTAGTGCGGTACGGCTGTCTTATTGCTTACGGTGTGGCTGGAACAGAGCATCGATTCCTAGGGGGGAGGAAGCTGGAGATGAACCGAGCCCATCTGCATGATGAATGCTGCAAAACTTTCTGTGAGTGCTCTAAGTAAACCATAAAAAGTCAGTATTCGAAGGAGAAGAGGGGTAAGCGGCGTACCCGCAGAAAGGGATGACGGAGAAGAAACCGGCGGCGACCCAGACGATTTCAGGACTCTTGTTTAGGACGAACTGATGCAGGAAATATCTGACATTAATCGCCGCGAAAAGAATACAGCCAAGCGATATCAGGCCAGCGATGATCTATGCGAGAGGATATTTTAGAGCGCACAGTGGCTGAAGCAGGAGCATACACACCACGGCACCCAGACGCAAGAGCAAGCGGCAAAGGAAATGGTGCCAACACATAGTATACCGAAGAAGGTGCAGAAAGTGTGCAGACTAGAGGGTTTTATATTATTTTCGAGTCTGAGTTCATCGTGATCGTATGGTCTCCAGAAGAAACATTCAGTGAGACCCCGAATATACTTAGACATGGCGGTCAGCGTTTGGCGGTGAACGCCATTTCAGGTCATATGGCTATGCGTTTCGACCAAAAATAAAATTTCCACGAAGAAAGGAAATTGGCGCAAAAACATTTTTCGCGCAGAAGCATCCTTCATTAGGGGCGCGACTGCGGCGACAGTTGGCGCTGCGGATGGGGGGGAGGCGCAGCAGGAACATGAAGCGAAGGACACACGTCTCTTTTGACCATGATTATCTTAGAAGAGGATGAATGTACTCCTCTAAAGGGGGACTCCACGACACCAGTATCTCCCAGTTCACCTTCACAGCTTTCCTCGCCCGACTCGCCGCCTTCGTACAATGAAGCAGTTGTCCCTAATTCTCCCAGTCGCCATCCGTCGTACGATGCTATCCCCATCCCTGAGAGTTTCAGTCTGGAGTCTCAGGACCATGTGTCTGACAAGGATCTGCGGCGAAGGAGGAACAAGCGCAAAGTTCATCTGATGTTGCTGTTCTTGGCTCTTACCGGATGTATTGTGTTCTGGTTGACGTTTGCAATCGTGCGTTGAGCTTTTTTCCATTGGAGGCCTGACACTGTTGACATGGATGATTCATCTTAGTTTTTTGCACCTGGTGGACTTGCTGTAAGTTCTTGCTTTATTGTTTTCTTCTGTGCTGACTTGTGTGTGTGTGCTAGCGGGACGGTGGCGTAAGTTTCAAAGCATGGTAAAACGCCAAAAGTAATCTTTGATTTCCATCATTTAGAAAAGAGGCAACGAGCCGCCTGGGCCGCCTCCAGATGGGGTGAGTGACTTTCTTTAGGACGTGTTAGCCAACACTCACGTCACTTCAGCATAAGGGGGGTAAACCCTGGGGGCCACCTCTGGAAGAAGAAGAAGGGGTAAGTCTTTCGTCACAAACTAAAATTGAAACTCGTTCTTATGTCGTTGTAGTCTCCAGACAACAACGACGGTGTACGTGATTCTTGTATAATGTATCGTTCCCCCCTTTCTCAAGCTCTCACAGTCTCGGGGTAAGGGCCCACCTCCTGGTGTCGAGGGTGTGAGTTCCACCAGCGAGATCAATTCAACTGGGAGATTCATTTTTTTGCAGGCTCATGTTAATGGCCCTCACCCTTCAGACGGTGATGATCACGATATTGTGAGATCTTCATCTGCTGCTGCGGAATTCAATCTGACCCACAGATATTGTTAGTCCAGAGGACTTCCTCGCGGCGTGCGTTGTACTTCCATGCAGCGTGTGCTTCGACCTTACCTTTGCGTAGCTCCTGGGGGACCGTGAATTGCAAGCCATCCTCCAGAATATTGTGAGTCGATCATGAGGTGGAATGCAAGGATGCATGACTGCTTAGATACCCTGGAGCAAGGACCCCTTTTTTGTATTACACCTCAACACGCCTAACTTCATTGAATGCTGTAATCATCTAGGGACTTTCTAGGCTGCAGTGGGGTGGGCTATGTGGGCAAGTCTGCTTGCAAGGTTTTCTTATTTAATATATAGTTGGGAGACAAGATTAGCCAATTTTTTCTTTCTCCATTAGCTCTTTTGATTTTACGTTTTCCACTATTATGCATCTGGCTGTGATGGATGGCATATCTTTTTTGCAGCTGCCTTAACAAAGAATGCAGCATTTTGTTGTACGGTCCCAGAGGCTATGTCCGGCCCGTAAGGTCCGTGATAGTCGCCGGCAAGTTACCGGGTCTTCCATCTGCTGTCAAGTCATGCAGAAGACCACGAAATCCCCTCAGAGTGAAGAAGCAGAAGTGAGTATCCTGACCCTTACCACAATCTGCGCTCAAATAGTGTTGCTAGTATACCTACTCAAAGGCTGCAAAGGCGGAGCTTGGAAAGAAATACGACATTGCATTCCGCTTGTATATCAAAGCTGCCGAGATCTTCCTGCACCTCAGTCGATCCAACAATGCACGCGAGCAGGAAAAGTCGAAGTGGAAGACCAGTGCTTCGAAGGCTTTGGAAAGGGCCGAGAAGATCAAAGCTTTCACGCAGCAGCAAGCCACTTCGCCGACCAATAATCAATCCGGGCCCGAAAATCGCTTGAACATGACCCTGACACCTGTCGCAGTGGACCACTTCTCCGAACGTAAGTCCCACAGTCCGAATGAGCGTATTGAACAAACGGGCTACAGGCGAACAATATTATGTGCTCCAGAAGGGCAGCGTCGTCAACGGGCTCAAGTTCCCCATGTGGGACGAAGGAGATCCGGGTACAAAATCGACTTCGTTGTACGAGTAAGTTGACCTTTACATCTTTGAGTAGTTTGGTTTTCGAAATGTTGACAGGGATCCTGATGGCCAGCCCGGTTTGTCTCCGGAGCAAGTGGAATTATCGACAGTTTGGCGACGGCCAGACGCCCTAGCCAATGTTGAGTTCCTACCTCTGGGTTCAGATCCAAAGGCGCTTCAAATCAGGGCCCAGGAGATAGTGCAGCAAGTTGTCACGGACTGTTCCGTGTGCGCGTCCCTATCCGTAAGCTTGGAGCACAGTCGTAGATTTTCGCTAAGCGTAAGCCCGTCTCAAACTGTTTTGTGCCGATGAAGTTGACAGCTTTATGAAAGTCACCCTCATGTCTATATTACTCCCCAAAGACCGGACGCTGTGATGTGAAGGTTCTATGGAATGGTGCTTGTAGACGCGTATGTATCACGTGTTATGCAATGTTCAATTATTGACCAATGCCACCGTACTACAGATAGGTCTGTATCTGCCTGAGTTACCGTCATCGTTTGATTTACAATTTGCACGTCAGTTATTGATGATAAGCTGCCCTATCACCCTAGCCTCTCTTCTTTGACGTGCATGACCTGTCGCATTCAAGAAGGTTTTGACCCACCGAGGCCGGTGCTTTGGCCGAGTCTCATCGAGAAAGCCGTATGTTGTTCTGCCTCTTACGTCCATGTGCTTTTCCTAATGGGATGAAAATAGTACATGAAGTTAATGGGGGGGTACAACTTCCCTGGATCGTGCGTCGTGTTGCTCAGCCACCTTTTCATCTGATTCAATTCTGCAGCCTAGAAATTCATGCATTGACCTTCAGTCAGTCTTGCTACTGTCCGAGACTCTTTTTGTTTTCTAATGTTCTGCAGCGCCTTTGGCGGATGGATTCCCGAGCAGCTAGACATCCAAAGGTAGGCCACTATATAGGGCAGTTCTATATCATGCAATCAAAGCTGGCTGTAGCAGTAACTTCGAACGTGAAAAGACTTGGTCCAAACTTCTGGAAGGCTTCACTCGCGGTGAGTCACACTGCGCTCGGATCATGCAAATTCTGATTGTCTTGAAAGGCGACTGTGTTTTAACTTTGGGGACCGGTGCGAGACCTGACATACGCTGGGACACGGTAGATATCTTGTCGTCTCACAGTTATGCAGTAATAGGTGCGTAGGGCTTGCTGCAGCGGAAGACGTCAGTAACTCCGATACCACGCAGACGTCGAGGAGGAGGATGAAGAGCGAGTATTAACTGTTTTGGACCCTTGGATATCTCCAGAGGATGATAAACAGGAGTCAAGTTAGTCGATTCATCGTCACTGATTGACGATCTCTCAACTGTACCAGGAATATTGCGTATACTATGGTCGGACGTCCTTGTCGTCTTTGACGGCATCTATATCAGCTGGGATCGGCGACGCTGGAAGAACACATTAACATTCCATGGGTTCGCGCAGCCATTCCTTGATTCCGCTTGCCGTTATTTACTCCGCCTGTAGACAGTGGAAAAAGAACGCATGTGATAATGGTAAGAAGCTGTTCGGCTACGCCAACGCCGTCATTCGCCTCATTGTTGGTATAGGCTGCACGCGTCAACTCAGAGCCAACTTCAGTGTTACAGACAACACAGTCAAGGAAGATGAGATCTGGGTTTTATTAACGCGACATCTTTCAAGGAGCAGGGAGACATCTGAGTTTATAGCTTTGCAAGTAGAAGCAGATGACGACAACATCAAGGTTTGCGATAACAGGCTGCTCTCCGCAAAGGTGATATCGAATTGTTTTGCATCTCACCTTTCATTCACGCGTGCTGCAGGGGGTGTACACAAATAGCACACATGTGCTGGTGAGTTTTTGTCCGTGTACATCAGACGCCATACTCATGTATCAATCAGGTCAAATCTAGAATTTCTAAGAATCAACCTTCTGGAACCTTGGTTATACTTGCCTCATACGACGGAAAGTCTCAAGATGTCGGTTTTACGTTGACGGTGTATGCCCGTTCTGCTATCACGATTTCATGGAATACCGATGTTCCGATACCGCCATTCACGACAGAGGTGCCCTATACAAAAACCTTAATTGAATGCTTCGCTTACAGTGGAATCAGATTGAGAGCACATTCACGCTGAAGAATGCAGGAGGAAACTCTACCTTTCCGACGTATATGGTTAACCCCCAGTATCATCTACGGATTCATCCAATGGCGCATATTCGGAGCAAATCTAAAGTCAGCTTGACCATGCATACAGTCAAGGATCTGCCTGTCAATATAACGGTTGTGTGGTCTCAGGGTCATCGGGTTTTTGAGTGCGCTTGACTTCTTATCTCCAATTACGATACGTGCTAACGCTAGATAGACTGGCTGAGAAAGACGTCGTTTCCAGTTCGGGTGCTTACAGTTATGGCTTAGCCAGGCTTTCCCAGCTACTGGGAGGTAGGATAATTAGGCCAGATGTATGCATCTTTTGAACTGACATCGGTTTTTTACATAGCTGGGGACTACAATGTTATACTCTCGTCCCTTGAGCCACACAAGACTGGCCCATATTGCCTGATGGTGGAGAGTACTTCACGATTTGATTTTACTCCCATTCCACAGGAAGGCGTCGGGATGTACAGCAGGGTTATTCGTGGAGCATGGTAAGTCCGTGCATAGACCCTAGATGACCATATTGTTTTGACACCTACCACTAGGAACGCGGACACAGCGGTTGGAGGCCCTAGCTTCAAGCAGTATGCACACAATCCCATATATGAAGTCGACTGCCCATCAGCCGCTCAGATGAAGTAAGCATCTATATCATCCCAGACTCTTGCTCTTCACAAACGCGACTTTTCAGAGTCCGACTACAGCTTATTCGTCCCTCGTCCAGCTCTCCGCTTAACGTCGCTATATACCCGGCCGACGCGTCTGAATATACCGCTTCGCATCTAGCTACGTCTGGTGCGTATGATGATGCTATCTCTGGCGTTGTCACGCCGCAGATATCCCTCAACCGGGGGAAGTACTGGATCATACCGTCGACATTTAATCCGGGGATTGAGGCGGCGTTCCAGCTGATTGTATATAGTTCTGTCTCGGGGGTAGAAGTTGAACTGCGGTCAAAGGGTGCAAATTCTTGAACCTGGGGTGGTCTCGTTAGAGGCGTACTGGTCAAGGGTCTCTGTGCAAATCAAGCTTATCCTGTTTTTGTCTCTGGTTCTATCCACTACAAATGTGGAATAAAACCAACAGCTTTTGTCATGTTTATTCTCCTCCTCTGTCCATGTCAGCGTCATCTGAGAGCAGACTACGGTTACCAGGAGATAGTTACTAGCTATCTGTAAATCAAATAATTGAGTTCTCCGTGCGCATGTCCATTGTGGACCAACTCAATCCAAGACACAACTCTTCGAGCTTCAACGTTCAACCCACATCCGCGCAGGTCTGGGCAGTAAACGGAACACAGCGCATCCGGCCCCTGATTTCACTCTTGCATTGAAGACCCTTCAGAGTCTCGTACCTGACCTAGACCAACAAGTCGTGATGGAACGAATCCTACCTTTTCTGGTCGATGAAGACGGCGTCAATGATCATATCAAGTACTTGGCGATGTCAATCGTCAATATGCGAGACTATCGTCGTGGCAATCTAGGTTGCTTTCGCTGGGGTCTCTTGTCTATACTTCATGTCTATGTAGCATGTCTATGTAAGATTTTGTTTAGCTGCAGTCAGGATTAGATGTCATATAAAGATTCCGCGCGTGCCAACATGATTATATAAATCAAGAAGTCGTCAAAATATTTGAAAGCCTGAAGTGAAGTGTAGAAAGAACTCAAAGGTCGACCTGCTGTCCTTCAGGCATCATCGTACTGTGGAGAGATACATCAGGCATCACCACCAGCACGAAATTTGGGATACGTACCACGATCTGGAGGGAACCCGGCCACGGACCCCACTGACCAGTCGCCGTGATGTACATTTTATTATCGGTCTGGACGAGAGGAGATTAACTAAAGAGTCCACAACTAGAATGAACGATCCCGCACCTCAAATTGGTTGAGAGTGAACCCAGCAAGCGTTCCGGCTGGTCCAGGTGCCCGTCGGATACCAGGCAGGCTGAAAATTATCTTTATCATGGTCGGGACTGCCTCCGCCACGAAAGCGACGCCGGGGCAGCCATGGAAACCGCATCCCTGCAACTCGTAATTGTCCAGTGGGCGAGTGGGGTCGACCTTTAAGGGATCCGGGAAGTCATCCGGCTGGGACAGAAATGCAATTAGTAGAAAGACCTCAAGGCTGAAGAAAAATGTACATTGCGATGTGCGTTCTTGTAGCTCCCGAAGATGATATCGCCTGGGTGTACGCTAACAGGTGGGAGGCCATGTCCTTGGTTAATGACATCATCCTTCACAGCATAGCGGAAGAGTCCACCGAATTGCGGGTTGAGGCGCATGGCCTCACGGACGTAGCCCTTGAGTAGTTCTGAACTCTTTGCATCATCGCGCTTACACACAGCAATGAGCGCAGTCCTCTCTGCAGCACGGCTGTCGTCTAGATAGAAGTCGACGATCTGCGAAACAGCTGTGTATTGCCAAATGCTCAGTCGAAACGTGATAGAAATGACTTGAGCTCACTCACCTTGGGCATAGTTGACGGAACTGCCAACGGCCAACCCAATAACGATAGCCGCAAGGTCGCGCATCGGTCTCCCGGATGCCGTTAGGCGAGTAAGGAAGCTAGGACAGTCCTGACGTGCTGGCGGCCAGATAGCTTCCTTGAGCCTTGTGAAGACGCCAACAATAGCATTCTATCATTTACACGGGAGGTCATGATCAGAAGACGGAATAATGAGAACCTCAAAGAAAATACTTACAGTTGCAAGGTGAGGAGAAGCATTGGTAATGCCCTGTTCGATCAAACCCGTCACGACGTCGCTAACCTTCAACGCACCGGAGCGGAGTGCCCACCAGTGCTCCGAGTCGATATTTATGAAGACACATGTGAAGAGCAGTTCCAACATCTGATAAAACTCCTGTTCTGTGAGTATTCCTGATGGGGTCTCCTCCGTTTTCAATTGGAAGCCAATCTAGTCACAGAATGACCAGTCAGTTATACAAAACCAAGGATAAATGTCTCCCGGCCGCACCAAGTTTTCAGCAACCCAATGAGCACTAACGAGATTGATGACATCCCTGACGATATCAACGTGGTTTCCCGGCAGACCAGGATATCTGCAGAAGATGTTAGTGCCTGGAGGAAAACCTGAGCGGATCGGATCGCACTTGAAGGTTTTCCTTTTAAGGAGCTCAAGAGTCTTGGTCCCATACCATGCAACGTATTTGGCCTTCATTTCTTGGTCAGGGAAAAGAGCTTTTAGGGTCTGCAGTGCCGATGAAAAAATGTTATTGGAGCAACACCATATCTACTCACCATTACACGATCAGTGTCGTGTTTCTCTTTCTCGTCAAATGAGAGCATAAATCTGGACAAAATTGTCACCACAAGACAAAGACATTGCTCAAAAAGTACATACCCATAACCCTGCGTCAGCAAATTCATATCATCCGTGTACGTTTGCTTGTAGACGTTAAAATTACTAAACACATATCGAATACCCGAGATCGTATTAAGCACGATGGGGATCGGCTTTGGCTTCGGGCGCTCAAAGCTGTAATTCGAGAGGTCGAGCCCAATGTTGGTGAGGTTCTCTTTAACAGCCGCGGGAGTGAAGAAGGGGAAGAGACCGTAGACGCTGTTGCCGGGGTAGTGACGGGGGAGGTGGCGGAAGAGAAGCTTGGGCAACTCCGCACCGAAGGCACCGTTATCTGGATTGCGAACGCAATCCTGAATACCCCATGAGGTGAGGTTCGCAGCTGCGCATACACGGTCAGCACAAAGGTGGGCAATAGCACATGACACTCACGTGTATAGTCCGTGGTGTAGAACCGATCACCACGCACCAACGCTATCGCATCTGCCAGGATCGCCCTCGTCATCGTGTACCCACAACAAATCCCACTCCCAGGCCCCAGCGGCATACAGTCCTCTGCCTGCAGGCCGGGATAAAGCTCGAGGTTATCGATGTGTCCGTACAGGAGCTCTGCCGTCTTTGCGATCTCGGGGTTGGTCGACCAGTCCGAGAACGATTTGAAGCGGGCCAGGCCGAGGAAATCACGGAACTCATTCATAGTGCAGCACCCCCACCGACGCGCCTGCTCCATACCCATGACCTCGATTGTGCGCAGCACTGCGGGCGTCCCCCGAGCGCGGTACGCGCCGGCTGCCTTATCGGTTGCGTCCTGCAGGATCTGTGCGAGATCGTCGTCCTTAAACGTGCCGTCGGCCTGACGCGCCATACTGTCGATAAGTAAATCAATGCCAGATAATAGACAAAAATCATCATGACGTACTCGCCAAACACCCGCTTTCTGGGCTCCGGATCGATTTTGCTGTACGCGCTAATTGCAGCGACCTTGAAATCGTCGAGAGTGACCTGGTTTGTTGGTTTTCCTGCCGAACTAAAAAGGGACGCGAACTCGTTCTGTGTCCATTTGATATCCTCTTTCGCAATCGTTGCGTGCCACTAGGATATTGATGAGGGTCGATTTTACACTTCAAAATAGAGGTGCTCGTACACGATAGAGGAGGTTGAACTCTACAGAGACTTGGTTACCCTGTCCTCGAGTGACTTTCTCACCTTTCTTTGTCGTAATGGGCTGAAACCGTCGATCAGTCCAATGACACAACGCAACATAAAAGTGGACGGACATCGAATGGATTCATGCTCCATGAGTTCCCTTCTCGTGGGAGTCCAAGAAAACCGGCTACATAGTCGCCAAAGATGAGGGATATGAAGTGCCCACAGCTGATTGTTTGGTCAGCATGAGAAATAATCGCAGGGCTTCTGAGAAGGAGGAACTGACTTGACATGTCGCGCCGTCTGGAAGATCTCTTCATCTTGCAGGGCACGTTGCTGGGGGTCAGCCGGTGGTGGGTCGGTCCACCGCTTCCATTCATTAATTTTCAGTAGCATGTTGGCAATGTACTGCAGTGAGCAATCAGAATATTACTCTCTCCTCAAGTCGTACTTCGTGGACGACAAGAAAGGGTAGAATATACGACGTACGTTGTGGTTCCGGCTGAAGATGACAAGCAACGCCGATGCCGCTGGTGGCGCGAAGATCAGCCGTTCCTCACTGAACGTGTCGGGGTACAGAAGCCCACGTCCCTGCTCCTTATCGCGCACCTGGTCTTGTGTAGCTTGGCTGTACCCATACAAAGGCGAAAGATCAAGGTACGACGACGTATTATTGCGTGTCCAGTCGACAGGATCTGTCCTGAAAAGCGAATGGGTAACGATCGTCGCAAAGGCGAAGGTCAATGAGGAATTTTTGCCAGGATGTTCTTGCCACTGTCATGTTATCCGTAAGCGGGGGGGGTTCCAAGCGCAGAAGGAATACTGACATCGCGCGCACAAAGTAGCGTATCAAAAACCAAACCTGAATCTGGCAGTGATGTACTCGTAAGGGGATGCTTTCCTTGGACGCTACGCGCATACGGCGTTCCTGCGCGCCCAAGTTGTGGATTCTCAACGTTGTTTCCAAACCCGTCTGCGCTCCTCCATTGATACTGCGGGCCAATGAATGTCGCTGGCGGATGAGGCAACGTATTATACAACAAAGCTATAGCCTCATTGTTGAGCTCATCCTGTACCGCTCCTGACGGAAGCCTCGTGATGGCCGCCAACGCTGTAGTGAAGATCCCTTTCCTGTCGTCTATCGCGTCGGGGTTATTGATAACATCCAAAACACCTTCCTATAATATCCAGTGATAACGTGAGAAGTCTACAACTTGTGAGAGAACGAGTGAATATGAGCTAACCGCAGCCTTTAGTGTGTCTGGGACTATCGGCCCACGCTGCACCGCCTGCTGGACATCATTAACAACCTTGTAGAGCACCGAGTTCTGGTCATCCTGCGTGCTCTGCTCATTCTGCGCAACAGCCTGTGAGTCGTACAAACCATCAGGCGCCGTCGGGGCTGGTCTGTCCTTGTAATACTGCAACTGTGCAGCCGACTGTAACAAAACCCGGTTAGTGATGTCTACTTCCATTGATAGTGCGGACAACGTACTACAAGGAAACTTTTGGTTAGGTCGGGCCTCGACGACATTGTGAAGGACAGTGGTAGGGAATATAGGATGAGATGCCCGGTTTATGAGTAGATCTTATAGGGAATCTGGTTATCCTTTACGACACTCAGGAGCAAGCCTACGCCGGAGGTACACCAAGGCATTATGTGAGTTGAGGAACACAATTGACTTGATTTCATAGTATTCACATGACCCCAATAGCATCCCCTTCAGTCAGCAGGGACTGGTCCATGATCCACGCACACTAAAGAGAAGTTTGTTGAGGTTAGAAGGCGTTGATGTCTTGAATGTTGCGGTGATTAGTTGACTTTGACATCCTGGAAAGGCGGACAGTCTTACTTGCGGTGTTTTGTATTAACTTATTAGTGTCGAGAATGCGGCTGGCGAACTACGACTCCAGGTGTCGCGTGACATATGAATGTCGAAGAGACAGAAAAACACGTAAATTCTTCCTGTCAAGAGTGCTCCCGGGGAGCTGCATGACCTATGAATGTCGAAGAGACGTAAATTCTCCGGTAGCAAAATGGAACTCACAAACGTCATATCTTACTTTTTGGCCGGGATATATGGAAGACAGAAACAAATCGATAACCTGGGCTTTGAGTTGCGAGAGAAGTATATGAAAAGGACTAGCTTCAATTTGAGGTCGTGGAAGTTTTCGAAATATTTAGCATTTTTGTGCGGACCAAAAAGTTGAGACTTTGGTCGTTTTCGTCCGAATAGGCCGGTGTCGGGGGGGCCGACGGACCCCCGACGGTGCCAGTTGGCCCCATTTGACCGGACTTTTGACCAGTGGCAGACGGTCAATTTGGCGAGAATTTGTCTCCTTCAGGGCTCATAGGGTATTATCCGGTGTCAACCGTTTCTGTCGAGGTAAAATTGCAATTCTTACAGGATGGTTTGATGCTTCGCTGATTAGACGACCGACGCTCTCTAGCTTGACAGATATGTTTTGCAACAAAATGGACAAATGGGTCTACTATCTGGTCTAGCACCTGAGCTTCACAAGCCAGTATTGAACTACCGTACACAAATTCTATCCAGAAGATTCAATACTCAAAGTGTGTTGTGTCTAGCACCTAACGCGTTTGTATTTCTGACTTTATATTTCTATTATAATAACGGCACGCTACCTAGGTCTTCGATCGATTTCCCGGAGATACTTATCACATCCAGAACCATGATGGCTTTATGAGCGCGGAGTGCTCTCATCGATAGTCCTCACCGCGGCGGCGACATCAAACTCCTAGTCCAATTATGGGCGGTTCGTAGAAGACACTTCATAGCGCGCTAGATCCCAGATCTTGCTTTTGCTTCAGATGTTCTTCACAATCTCATCCATGACAAGCTCGGATAAAAGATATGCTTCCTTCTCTGGCCGATGAAGACGGTGTCAGCTTTGTGTCTTCATATCGGTTCTAGAGTCCAGTTTTGCTTTGCCAGGGTCTCTTGTATATCTTCAGCATCCTGGTACGTTTAACTGTAGTCAAGATTGGAATTGTCACCTACTTCGCAACGCAAGTGTAACGGGAAAGGGTTATCTGCGGAGATGGCCAATCAATCTAGTCTTCTGCAAACGGCCACCAAGACGTACAAATTAGCTTCTTTCTCTCCACGGAATGTACGTTGTCGCGGATTCGCGGACACGGGGGTTCGGAATGTGAAGGTTCATCAAATTGTCCATCAATAGAAGAAAAGGAAAATTTCGGCGGACTTGGAAAGCAAAAGTGCGGAAGCGCGAGCCTCGCGGCAACAAATCTGCATCGCCAAAGAGATCCATTTTTTCATGCCTTCTTCTTCGCCAGCGATGATGACGCAGATATGTCAAGGAAAAAGGAGAATCGTCTCTACTTTAACACTGCAAGGAGATATACCTGATGATCAGGGCCGATGCTATCCGCGGACCATCTCAAACCAACATCGGGGTGTGCGAACGGCGGCGAAAGGTCGTCGCGATTCATATGAAGCCAAAATAGTCTCAAACATTCATACGAAAGCGAGTCGCGGGACATGACAATCATGCACTGCTCTACCGTACTTCATTTCGTCTCAGGATAGCGCCAGCCGTTCTCTCGCGTCATCTTCTTTCTGTAGACAAGCATCCAGTATATCCATCATTGCGCGGGATAACTTGGCGGCCATTCTTGAACCTGTTATCTGTCTCTGAGGGGGGGAAGATGTCCCAACGTGCTCAGCCTAAAGCATTCCGATACACCTCTGGCGAAAGGAGGAACTCGTTAACCCTCTTTAAAGTACTCCGAGATGGATTCGCTTGAGGTCGATCGGAGATGATCCACTCGAGTCGTGTACGAATAGACTGCTTGTCAGCTGGTGATATCCTTTAGTACGTTTACGACATACGTGAACCGTAGAGTCTCACCTTTTCGTGATCTACTTGCCATAGCGAAATTTCCATGTTCATCGAAGAACAACTGCAGCGCAGTGACGACTACACCAATGCTAACATCCTTGCCTGTGTCACAAGATACACAGACCGAACGCCCCTCGAGCAACGCAGACTGGATGAACGTCATGGCTTGAGGAAGCACGGTGCTCAGCAGCTGGGTCTGCCCCTTCTTGCCTGGTGATGTTTTGATCCGCTCAATTTGCTGGCAGCACTCAATATGGAAATGGTTCTCGCTAAGGACGAGATACACAAAATCGTCTCCGAGGGAATGGCTGTGCAACCCCGAGTTTTGGCATATTGCCAGGCGAGATCCAACTTTGGAAAGGGTCGTTGGAGGTTCTCCCCTTTGCGTAGGTGACGCTGAAACGATGGAGGTAACGAGATTTTGGAGCTCTGTTTGGTTGGATGTTAACAGTTCCGCTTTATGCCTCCAAAACATCTCCGGGACCAGACCCTAGTTTCTGTTAGACAGCAAGAAGCGACATGAACGGAAACGGACAATTCCCCAGGCTTCATGATCATCACCAGACCCTTGTATGTATGCGAACCCGCTAGACCGACGCTCTAGGCCGTCTCCAACCTGCTTCGACGCGGAGATGCATATAACAGGGTAAAAGCCGGAATCTGGGTCGACTTGAGGGAATGAAGAGGATGAAGGCGTGATCCACATTGGACGGAGTGGATGTTGGAGCCGGAGGATGGCGTAAGAGGATTTCTATCCAGGTTCATTCAGACCGATCCAAATTTTGATACAGTGGAGCATACAGCAAGTGCCTCAGCCCAACCATCTAGTAAGGGGATAATCTGGTCGTGCTCTTGACTGCTCACGGTTACAGGAGGTGTGTAAAGATCAGTATCCCAGTCGGTAGTGGCTTCCGGATACCGAATTTGCATAGCTCGGTTGACAACTGCACACCAGATAGGCACCGTCTTGGACAGCGCATCGGGAATTTTCTTGCCTGCTCTTGTGGAATCGACTAGGATCATTCTGCATAGATATAAGCTTCTAAAACACTGCAGCTGACGGCCACGCACCCGTTCTGTTCCTTTACTAACGCTAGTAGGTGCAAGTTTGGGCGTCTCAAGTTGAAGCTCCAATTCGAAAAATGGCCATCGGTAGACTTGAAGTAGGCGGGGATGGGTACTGACTGAATATCGCTTTGGGTGTGCAGCACAAAACAACAAATTCAATAACAAACGTACAATGTTTGGGTCCGTGTACCATGCGCCACATCGTAAATTCGCTGCATATCATGTTGGTTCAACGTTGCCTGCTCGATGAGACCATCATCGTACGGAGAATCGGTAAATCTTTGTAGGAAAGTCGGACTTGATTGACAAAAGTTATGTCTTCATCAATTGAGTGGAGACGGTTGTAGATATCCAAGGATTCCTTTCGAATGTAGGCCAGAGCGGCGTTGCGACTGCTCTTGAAATCGATATCGTCCATACTGGAAATCTATTCGGGCGGTGAAGATGATGACCAAGAAAGAAGGAAGAGACGTACGAGTAGTAGTGTAAGTGAGGGTAACAATTTGACTTTGACCTTGGCGCACAGCCACATGCTTGCCAGTGCCATGCCCAGGCCTACCGACCGCTTCCCTTTGAATTCGGGTAAATACTCGTAGATACAGGTGGTCCCCATCGCTATCAGAGAAGTCTAGGTATAAATCTATCGTTCTTCCGCCTATGTTCTGTCCATGTCCAGCATACCAAGGAACAGGAACGAAGAGAAGGAATGTTGTTCGAAAGATGGGCCCCAGCGACCAGCTTTTGAGGCCGCTGGGGAAGTACAAACTCGCCACTCGGACATAATCGACGAATGGACTGTCGCGTCTCATTCCTGAAACATAATGCTTGCCTACAACAGATGATGCTTAAACCAAAGCACCATTTTGTAACTTTTTCACATACTACTTTAGTTTCCATCATTGCGACACTGCCCCCACCCAGAACCAAGCTCTTTTCACCAAATCACCGCAGGAGACACACACACACTTGAACACCAAACCCTTCACACGTCCCAGAATAACTATATGTAAAAGTTCAACAAAAAGGACCAGGATTCTGATGGATCAAAAAGACGCACTCTAGTGCATTGAGATGCAGCGCATCAAACGTGATGGGAGTGGGAGAACAGCCAAAAACTCAAACTCTTACGTCGCATGGATTGTCAGCGAACACCATCAGGATGGGGTTTACATGAATCGTCATAAACGCGCTCTGGACATGGGTAAGATTAATCGAGATGCACACACGACAAGAACCAGGGAGAACATACTTGAACCCCGGGCAGATTGTAGTAGCAGTGCCAGCGAGGACGGCGTAGAATGCAAGCCTCATCCAATATCTCCCCTGGGGAACTGAGCATTAGTCTTCACACTGCAATTTCTCGACCATTGTCTTGCCTCGTAACGAAAGACTGACAAAATAAGGAGGGATACGAGTAATGTGAAGATGTAGTTCGAGAGCACTGACAGTCATGTATGTTTCGTGTACGTGTGTAACGATGCTGTGCCGTGCCACCATCACGTCTCTTTCTGAATGCCCGGGTAGTCATCCGTTGTAGCTATAGACCGCTGATGCCGATTTCAGGGATTGAAATTTGGAACCTAGACATAGCGATAGCAGAGAACAAGGTCTGTATGCTTATTAGCTTAGCAGGTCAGTGTAAAAAAGAACAGATAAAACCCACATATTTCTTCTTTGTCTAGATATGGCACCTGCACATCTTTCCCATGTTCTTGGGTATGATCCACGGAATAGAGATCTTGAATCATCGGAGCTGATTCGTGATGAAAGCACCGCTCACTTCATCAAACTACCCCATGGCTGCAACATGCGCGTCACTTCGTCGCACTGGGGAGGACCCGGAGCCATTACTGGCACCCATCACAGGATCAATTCTTTGCTCTTCTCTTCGTTCGCTCAAACCGCCTCCCTTACAGGCCACTCTCAAGGCCGTATCCTCCCCCTCTTGGTCCGCATTATCTGGATCTTCCTCTTCGATAGAGATGGATGGATAGATGCGGCCCCACCGGCATGACCTTTGATACTGTTCTCGTCTTCGTCAAGGTTTACATTACGTTCAGAGTCTGGTAGTGCATTCAGCTCTGGGAGATGGATAGATATGGCGCGCGTGGCCAGCCTGTACGTGACATATAGAAGCCTGCAGTTGATACTAGAAACATGTCATTCCTGCTAATGTATGCGAATATCGTTCCGTTCAAGCTAATTCTCCACTTGACAAGGGAAGGGACAAAGGTAAACCGTGATGAGCGGGATGAAGGAAGGCGCTTCGTCCATCTTACACGGAGGAAAGACAAATAGACCGGATCATAACAAGCCAAAACAGACACCACCTGCTGGCTTCGGCCGTTTTGCTACACCGTCAGCTTCTCTGGTCGCGTCTCAGTACTTCTTTCCTGAGGATATCTCTTTCTTTTCACAGTCCGGTCTCGTTTACCTTCGGTCCTTCGCTACTCTCCAAACGCCGGAACTCGACTGGAGAAGTCAATGCTGGTGGTCTCCCCTTCCACACCCGTAGTTAAGTATGCTGTTATCCTCTATAGACTACATCCACATACAACCTGGAAATCACCTTTCTATACCCTCGATATATATCAGAAAGTTCTGTGGCGGAGCAGGTGTTACTTCTAGACGTCCGAGCTTTCATGGCATTGTTGGCAGCTGACCATTCTATCTATCGTGCTCGTCGTTCTCTAGTCGCCGCTCATGCTGTGGTTCTCAATACAATTTGTGTACGTGACTTTTTGACAGAACTCGGTATAAAAGGACCGTAGCCCTCGTAGCTCACATTATCGTACTCGCCGCGTACTTTCGTCTGTTCTCTCTTGACTCTGCAGACACCATGCAATTTCGCCTCCTTCTATCTGCTCTCCTCACCGTTTGTGCCGTGAACGTATTGGCAGAGCCTCTGGCCGACACAAAGCATTGCTCCAATGGCGGAAAGATTGACAAGGATAACGAGACATGGGCCAAGTACGTCACGTACAAAGCGTGCTGATATTATATTTACCTAAATCTGTTTCTACAGGAAGGGTTGCGACCCCGCGGCAAGCGTTGGGATCAAAAGTGCCCATAATTGCAAGAGTGGAAACGGCAAATATTACTTGTGTAAACAGGGTAGCACTTGGACATGCAGTGCGGTGAAGAACATGGTTGGGTTGGAGAATGGAGAATGCTTCAAGTAGAAATTGATTCGTGTTGAAACGTTGATACTCGCAAATCCTTTTGGACTTTCGAAGCCCCTATGGACGCGAAACTGGTCCGTGCGTGTGAATGCCATTTTGGATTTCTCCGCAATGGCAACGAGTCAAATTCGTCACTTCGTTTCACTTAAGCTTGACTGTTAGCCATGGTTGAGTCGTCCAAAATCATCTTTGGATAGTCTCGGTGCTAGTGGGTTGCACCGCCATGTTGTCTCGAACATACTGTAGTTGACCAAGTCCTCGTGTTTACTCTTTTTTCAAGGTGTGCTTTTCTTGAACTCTCTTCGATAAAGTGCGCCGCTTCAGGTTATCGAGCAAAGACTGCAGAACGAGAATGAGCTTCTCTGTAGGACTTGCGGGTCCATGCAAATAATCTGATACTCCAGATCAACCCAAAGTCGTTTCGTACCCCCTCAGATGATCCGGATTTGTATTTACGCCACCGGCTGCAGGGCAAATCCAAGGCCAGAGGTGTGGGATATTATAGCATAGAACATTTCTGAAAACTGGATGGAATCAAAATGTGAAATCTGGATTGTTTACCCTGCGGTCGAAATCGTTCGCCATCCATCCTTTTCCTCTCGAGTGAAACTGATGTAGAATTTGAGGTGGGGAGTGTGGCACAACAGTAAGTCCTCTGCGTTGTTTCAGACGTGCACATCATATTCAGTCTTCTCTTCCGGTATAGGTTGTTGCTTGGAGCTGGTGTTTCATCCTCTTACGAATACCGACCTCACGAAAATTTTCGTCAGCGTTCGACTCTAGGTTTCGTACTGCCCTCGCCTCGAGTTCGTTTCACGGCGCTGGACCCCTGTGGAATCACGCATGGTTTCACCTTCCATGACCATGAACAACCTTTTGTGTGCTTATTGCCCTACGTTATCCCGCCCTACCGTTGGCTCGGCGCAGCCCCCGTGGAGTCATAATTGTTTCAAGCACGGTATAAAAGTCCCAATATTTTTGAAGGATGCATCCATCGCAACTCATCTGCATCGAGATGCAATTCACTCTCAGTACCCTTGCAATCCTCGCCGCCACTGTTGGTATGGCCAAAGCCATCTGTCCTGGCTACAAGTATGCTGATTTCCTCTCTCCATGACCTCCGCTAACCGCAAATCTTATAGCTACGGCATTGCCGACCTTGGAGGAGGACCCCCGGGCTCTTGTACGCGACACATTTTCCCAGCTGCTTCTCCCCGATTAAGCTGATCATTCTCAGGGCGGGTCTATGACGATTCGTGCAATTCGGCTCTGACTGTCATCACCGACAACCCGTGCACAGAAGGCGCCTTTGACTGTAGCCCTGCTCCCATCACGTTCACCGGGTTGCACCTCAACGGGCTCAAGTAGGTCCTTACGTGTCTGGAGTCTGGCAATCACTTATAGTTTTCTTGTAGCTATGCCTGCCGCGGTGATCCCAATTCGGGCTCCTGTGATGGACATACTATCCAAGTCTGCGTACGTCCCTTCTCACTGCGCTTCAGAGAGAGAAATTAACTCGTTCATATCAGTGCCGCAATGACGGGAACTAAATTCTTCTTTGTGCGCACGACAATATCGACCCTACGTTGTATTTGGATACAAACAGTACCTTCAATCCGACGTTGTATAGTGAATGTTAACAGAATGTGTATGTAAATTAAGGTTCATAGTCTTCAACCATTCGTGGAACTTGAAATTCCACCATGGCATAGCTTGGGTTGTTCCACGCGTCACCAACTTGAAAGCATATCCCGTGCTGTCTCCTCTGCCTTTATCCGAGCAGGTAACATCAGCGCCGTTGTCAGGCGAAAGCCTTAACAGCCTCATCACATCAACCGGAACTTCACCGATAGGGATAAGTGCCTGCCGAATCCTGCTGTAAGGAACGTTCTTCATCGTTTAAGCTGTCGGAACCTTCAGCTCTTCTCCTCATACAACCGATGTGCATAGTGCAGGGGTGTTTATTCTTCATCATTGGCAGCAATACATGAACAATGATGTCAAATGATAGACATGGTGAAGAACCATCACCCTCTCATTGTCAAGGAGTAGTGTGAGCTTTCAGAACAGCAATGATGGTCTCCACACAAGGTGCACTACAGTTGACACTCTTATAACCCATACTCTCCCATACCCCATAGATTTTTGGATCCACTGACCTTGTTCACAGGGAAATTGATGCCATAAACCCATACCTTATGCCCCATACCCCATAGCTTTTCCCAAGAATCTCCTCTCTGGTACCCCATAGATACTTAGTCATTGTGCTGACAGTAGCATCTGGCAATGTCAATTTAAGGGAGCCAGATGGTTGCTATGTTGGGGCTGTTGTCAGAGAAATGTGAAAACTCATGTGTCATTATCAACTGCCCCTACTGCTCTTTCCATTGCACTAGAAGTCCTAGTATGACATTTCCAACCATTCATGAATTGAAGAAAAGCCCTCCAAACTGCAAAGGCAAAACTGAGGCAAAATAAGCAAGTATTCTTGTTAGGCTCACTGAAAAGAGATCAGTCTCAGTGGAAGAAGAAGCATGGTTGGATGAAGCAGGGAATTTTGTTGATGAGGACATCATCATTGAGAAGCTCAAGTCAGCATCAGATTTTGGAGCTGCATTCAAAAATTTCAATATGAGCCAGAGACATGCATATGACTGACTTGAAGAGTCAAATCAAAAAATTTAATAAGCTATCTCTGAAGAGGAAAGGTAAGCCATCACAGGTGTATTGCAAGGCCATAATTGTATGGATATGAATTCTTGCTGAATCTAGGGATAGAGAATGTGGACATGGAAGAAACAACAGACAAAGATATCTTTGATGCAATGATGGCATCACAGAGTGCAGAAGAAGGTATTGATGAGAATGGACTCAGAGGTGATGGTGATGGTGATGATGATTCAGAGTTGAAACCTCATCCTAAGTGTTATGAGGCTCTTTAAGCTGTCAGAACTCTTCAAAAATACATCAAGATCATGGATGATCTGTTTGCTCAGAACTTGGAAAGCATTTTGGCTTCATTCAGACAAAAAAACAAGGCTTGAAGAGACTAATTCACTTCAGGACAGCCAGATTACAAGCTACTTCACTTCTAAATAGCAAGTATGTTATATTATAGGCCTATTAACAAAATATAAGTCCCTATGAGGGCCTCAAAGTTGACCAACAATGTCCTCTCTCCAACCCCATACTCTCTCATAACCTATAGCTCTGAGGGTCTACTGACTGTTATGGGTTATGAGAGAGTCGACTGTCATTGCATTACTACAGCCATTTTCATAATTAATTATAATATTATGTTGAATTACCAATTTTGAAACTACTGAGTCGCGCTCTGCGATAATACCGTCTACTCTACCTGCTTATGTGTCTAAAGAAATGAAAGACATTTACCAACCGTATTTCACTCCTGTGACATGCCCTACGCCTCCAATATACCGTGCAAGCAGAACCCTCGACATTTTGGCCTCTAGACACAACTGGATGGTCAGTTTCTACAACGAATTGAACGTAGCAGCGGCAGGGGCGCAGGATGCCTGACATACTGTTACGAAATATTCTGACAGACACTGGTGGTATACAAGAACCATTAGGTGTGCGCTGAATTGGTGGTTTCCTTTCAGCTGTGAGTGTAGCTACGCCTTCCTATGCTCTCCTGATGTTATTCTTCTAGAATATGGGTTATTTCATGCATTCAAGAGACATCGCTTTGGCAAGGATGGTGCCCTCGTTACACGTGAGCACAGAGGAGTCTGAGGGAAGGAAACAAGGACTGTAACGAGTCTTCGGTTCCAGCTCGGAGGTACGTTTTTCTTGTCAGCGCTTAGAGTCGAGGCTCAGGTGGTCGTCAGGCATGAAGACGCAGCAGCATCGAAAGAGCTAGTTATTCATGTGACCAAAGCTCTTGTCGCCTGGAGATAAGGAACGGAAAACGGAAAAGAGAACCCCCAAAGTCGATAAGACAGGTCGTCCTGACCGTTGTCGTTCTATTCCGCCCTTGACGTCAATCGCCCGCGATACCGCAGATGCATCCTTGTCGAGGGTCGAGCATCTAACCTCAGAACTCAGTAGCACTCGGTGGTATACTTTCCAACCGAATTACATACCATGAATCGCCAAAACGAAAAACTCAAGTCAAATAATGCGAGTGTGGCTCGATCTGCCAGACAGGGAGAAAATTTTCTGCACCTGCTTCCAAGAAAAGGCGGAGTACTTTCTTCCCCAATCCAGAGTCTCTTTGGAATCTGCACCGGATCCTGCCTAGGCCTACAGCTGCGATCCAGTGGCCCATGGAGATGGTCGAATTGCTTCCTTGATACAACCCTTTCTGGTGTGATATGTCATCTCTAGGGACGGTCAAGTTATGGACAACACTGCAAGGGTCCCGTATACGACAGATTTAACACAGGTATCATATTCTCTTAGAATCGTCCCAGCGACTGATGGAAGAGATTGGAGCGTACTTTTTGGGTCAGGTGAGAGTTGGACTTCTTTTGCGCGTGTGTATATTGAATGATAAGGAAGGCAATGTAGACAGGTGACAAATTGCTCTGCACTGCGCAGTGCACACTGTGCATTCATGTCCGCCGCGCCGTGAAGACGAGGTAAAACTGCTGTTTTTGGCTTGCATATTGAATAATCCGAGGCGTGTGGCCCTCCGGGTGAAAGATCAAAGATGTCCCATAGCAATGGCATATTTCTATGCATGGGAGTGTAAGTATGCTCCGTACTGTGCATTGGAATATGTCCGAAGACGAGGTAATGTGACTTGCTCAAAGAGATGGTGAATTATAAAACCCGAGTCGTCAGAAACGCGAAGATACGGTGGCCGAACGAATGGGCCTAGCTCGTGACTAGATTTATAAGGACCAATGTTGATTGCGTGATTGGAAACAAGATGACTTACCGACAACGACACGTCTTAAAGGACATATACGCACTTGCTAGTGGGAATTTTGGTCTCAGGATGCAATGATACCAGGCACCCAGACAGTCATGACATATCCCATGATTCCAAACAGACTTCGCACGATTGGCTGGCTCCATCGCGTATCAATCATGCTGTGAGTTGTGTGTCATGGTGATTGGAATAAAGTCGTCCGAGGTCGCCGAAACGAAGCCGTCAGTGGCTAATAGACAAATTGGGAATGCATGAACCTGGGTAAAAAGGATCCCCAATTCTCATCGTTTCCCCATGTCCTCCTTATTGCTTTCCCTCCCTGAAGAGCTGCTTGAGCTCGTTGTATTCGAGGTGCGCTGCATTTTCCCTTTAAATTTCTTCCGTATCTGAGTCTACTGGTAGTCCGATACCCCCACACGAAAAGCACTCCGATCAACGTGCCTACGCTTGGAATTGATCGCCACGCCGCTTGTCTTCGAGAGCCTGCTCATCGATATTCGCAACAGGCACCATGTTTCTAAATTCCTCAGAAACCTCTGCTCGAGCAAGGGACTGGCGAGATACGTCCAGCATATCCACCTGGTCTCGCTCAAAGCCCCAAGAAAGCTGCTTCTCCTACGTAGAGGGAAAGAGTGGAGAAACCTTCTCATAGCTGCAATACCGCATATGACATCATTGAAGAGCATTTCGTGGGTAGCCTATCGCGTTTATCGGCGTAGCTAACTGTGGCTCCAGCTGTTCGGCCTCCGACAAGAGAATACTCACTAACACCACCCTCTGGCACAGCCTCAGTCATATCGACTCGCTGACCATCTCCAACTGCAACGGCAAACAGAGAAAGTCCACTGCCCGTCTCCATCTTCCTGACCTCACTTGCCTCAGCTTCTCTGGCTACGGTTGCCTCGAGTATGCGAATACCCTCATCAGCACGAGCACCCACCTCAAGACACTCGCAGTACGTCACCCCCTCCACCCCGATGACCGTTTCGATCCATTCTCGCCCTCCGTCCTCATTCTCTTCCGCGGCCCCCAGTCTATGTGCCTCACTACCCTATCCCTCTCCGGAAACCTCTCCCTCAGCGCTGCAGAGGTCCCTTTTCTCATTCCGTACATCCGTCATCTCCAGTCACTCTCCCTTGATATGGACTTTGTCCCGGGTGATTTCTGGCAGTCGTTGAAGCAGGAAGAGATTTTTGTAAAAGAGAGGTTCGCGCTTACGACATGGGATGCTGAGCCCTCGGTGTTTGATTACCTGTGTTCATACACTGGCCTGCGCCACTTGTTTCTGCACATAAAGGAGGGGCAGGATGGTCATGGCGTGAGGAAGGTTGTGAAAAGACATCGAAAGTCGTTGTGCGATGTAGATATCAAGCCAAATGTACAAGTTATTGCCTAGAAGATATTCATGCATGATCACAACACGTGACGAACGACAGTTGAGCCTTATCTCTTTGTTGTCACTGGGTTTTACATACCCTGTCGAATTAAAGAGCTTTTACCTCGATGAACTTAACAGATCATTAATGCGTTGCGTCATAACGTTTCGGTCTTGGGGGTGTCAAATAAGGGCCAAAGGTTTATAGGAAGATTGCTGCAGTGTGGCTTCAGAATTTCATGGCCTTTATAACTCATGCGAGTGCCGTCATCTCCATACTCAGAAAAATGCCTCGCATTGATGACAGGGTATATGGCCAAGGTCGAGGTCATCGACCAGAAAAGCTAGATGAGTTTCAAGTCTTCAGCTAGACGGCAGTAGGTTGCGCTTATATCGAGAATATCGTGGCTGGTACAGGACGCATTCGTGGCGGCATTGATGGGCTTGTCTCCAGCACTGGTCACTCCGGAAAGAATGTCAAGGATTCTCGCAAAACGGATAGATGGTGGTCATCGTTTGAGCCTTGGAATTTCTATTTTGGTGCATGGCATATTATTTTTCCACACTTGCATCTCCTTTACTATCAATCCGAGTCTGCAATACGAGCTCTGACCCACTGGTACTACTGACGTCACCCTGATCGTTCTCGGAGTGCGATTGTCGAAGGGAAGGCTGGGAAGATATAGCCCAGAGATGGGTCTGTACAATGGATACACAGATTGACATCGATATCGATGCCGCATTCGATGGCTGTGTGACTTGGTACTAATAAATTTAACAGACGCTGTGAAAAAAGATCAGAAATATTCCTGATGATGGGAGTAACTGGGGTATAAGAAACTTCTTTCGATGTACCTGTTGGACGAGAGAAGATAGATGGATGTTGACCGCAACAACTGTATAGCATAGTGAGTGATAAATCCACTATAGTCTTCCTTCTTCTCTCAGTTTACTCTGAGGGTACCCTTAAACATTGTATAGTTCGTTTCAATATCAAATTGATACCAGCGCGTCAGAATCTCTTCCGCTCCAACTTCAAGTTGGCTTGAAGGATTTTTTTTGGAACCGGTGGAACTGAATCATGGTGATTCATTTGATGCCTCCATGCACTGACGACGATTGAAATCATAGCTGGACTGCCTTTCAACTAGGGTTGAACCGCTTTGGGTATTACGGCGCCTTCTCTCAGATTTCTCACGGTGACTGTTGAAAATATATGTACAGGTTCTTTCCCTTCAGGATCAGTAAAAGGAACCCAGATACAATATGCAGCCCGTCCCCGCAGATTATCCCATAGAAAGGCTGTAAGTTATAATCTTGAAATTGAGTGGTATGAATTGAATCATATCATTTCAGGTCGGGACCTTTGGTTCGTCAAGTTTTGTGTCTAATCTATTCAGAACCTAACACAGCAATCCAGATCGTTGCCTATCTCTTGCATTGGGGACTCTTCGGGACTCTTTCTGTGCAGCTATGTGCGTTGCTCTGAGCCATTCTAGCAGATTGTTCCTTATGCATTCTCGTTAGATTTGTATTATCTGGCATTTCCGAAAGACAGAAAATTTACAAAATATCTCGTCTATGGCATCTACATTGCCGAGTTCGTTCAGACGATGCTCGTCACCCGCGACGCCTTTGCAGAGTTCGGGTACGGCTTCGGTGACATTAATACCCTGACTGGAATATATTTTAATTGGCTAACTGTCCCCATCATGAGTGCTGCTGGTGCGTGCAGCACGTTCTGCTCATTTTCTGTTACTTATCATGAATACAGCTGCTGGTGTCGGGCACGTCTTCTATGCGTACCGAATTTACATATTGTCGAAGTCACGAACTGTCCCCATATTCATCATCTGTGTTCGTTGCCGTGACCTTTTTCTGTTCCGGTATAGCTCATCTATTTACAGGTGTCCTTGACTAGTTCTGTAGCAGCTATAGTCACAGGCGTCTACTGTTTCCAAGCAGGCAACATCACTGAACCCAATAACCGGATGATGTCCATCGCTGTCGGGGTATGTAATCGTCTAGGCGTCCCGAGTTCATTGTACTGACTCGTGCATAGATTTGGTGCGGAGCCTCCGCTCTGTGTGATATCGTCATCGCTATCTTTATGACTTACTACGTGAGCTTCTCCCTTCTTTCGGTTATCTTTCATTGGCATTGATGCTGTTTCGCAGCTTATACGCAGCAGTACTAGTTTTCCCCAGACCCGAATTCTGATCACAAAACTAATTCGTCTCACTATTGAAACGGGATCTGTGACGGGTATTCGCTCCCTACTACCCACCGTTGTCACAAGATTAACCCTACGTTTAGCTGTTGTTGCTCTGGTCAACCTTATCCTCTTTTTTGCCTTCCCTCATCAGGTTTTCTACGCGACACCAGCCCTCATCATGCCCAAGCTGTATGCTAATACCGTCTATATGGTGCTGAATTCACGAATCCGAATTATGGGTGGACGTGATACCTATACTACGTCTTCTACCGATATGAGCATTACGTCAACTATGATAGAGGATATCACCTCACATTCAACACAGGGCACACGGAGAACGGACGAGGTGCAAGGACGAGTGTCGTTGGTGGCGATATTCAACGATGGTTGTGAAATGGGTCATATGAATGTCGGTCCGCGATGATTCCTGCGCTTTATTGGGGCTGATTTCCTCCCTTCAAGGACAAACCACAGGACGAAAGAATGAGCCTTCCTGGCGCGTAACTGTTAGAGTACGTTCATGTGTTCGGCAACTCGCTTTTATTTATTTATTGTCTTATTGTCTGTTTCGCCTTCTAATATGGTCTTTCCTTCTAATTCTTCGTCTAGACCATCAATTTGTTCTCTATCTGTCCCTCGATTCATGCTATGCTACGATGGAAATGTGCTCCTCGTCCTTTGGTTTCTTATGTGGTGTCCAATGTTACCTCGGAGACGTCTGTGCTCCAGCATCCTATGTCCACAAGAGTAAGGTCGATTTACAACGTTCCGTCTCCCCAATAACACAAGGGGTCAAGTTCGTGTTACCACGGATCCTCACTGTCCATTGTCTTGATGATCATTTGAGGATTTTATGAATATTTTTGGACCACAACTTCGCTTATCACAGTACTGAGAACATCGCCCTGCTTGGCGACTTTTTCACAGGGATTATCTCGGCGAAACTGGAATCGTCGTCACAGGCTTGCGTAAGTATCTAGAGTTCGCAGTGCTGAAGCATGTTTGTATGAAACAGATGTCTACTAATAGTGCATCATCGCATACGGACCTTGCATGTTCCATCTAATCTCATCTGATCCTGTCTGATCGCAACTGAGGTGTTGGCGTCGCTGCTTCGCCATCTGTCTGTTTGTTTCCGTCATTCCACGATCAAATCGACAATGCTATACGAATACTTATGGTACGCAAGCCTAGGTTCAAATTCCTGCGTTATTCTGGGTTCTGAGGAAGAACCCGATCAACGATTAAGTTTATGCAAGGATCGATTCTCCACGAACACAAGCAGAAAAATCGTGGTCGATATGCCTTTTGACTTTGGGATGGTCCTTTAGCAAGCGGTCGGTGCCCCACGTAGAGCTTGATCCAAACCCAAGAGTCAGATTATTAATTCATATCTGGTAAATGCTAGGATGGGCCATTGATACAAATTGTACCGACTATATACTTCTTTCTTCTCAAATCAAGACTCGCTTGCAGTAGTTCTTGACAGATTTGTCGTAGCGTGTCAATGAATGCTAGCGACCGGCTTCTTCTGAAGTAACCGATATCACGCTTGCATCTTTTTGGGCTCGGCACGACCGTGCCGCTTCTTATTTGCGCATGCCTTAGCCCACGGTTGGCGAACCGAAGGAAGCGAAAACGTTTATATTTCGACCGTGAATGGCTTTTAGTATTTCTTCCAGGACCTTTACCTCCCTTGTAACCTCTCCGCCGTTGTCTTTCGGTGGGAAGCGCCCTTCCGCAGAATGCAAGGCCTGGAGGCGGATTTGATGAGGTGCCGGCCATCCATGTGGGATCATTTTTTATTGATTCATACCTTTTCGTGATATTAGGGTTTTGGAAGGACGAGTTGGATCTCCTGCACCTGTTCTCACCCCCAGACCTAACTTTCTCAGCGACCACTATGATGCGCAAAGGCGAATCTTCGAGCTCAGGCTCTGCTGCTGCCAAGAAGCGCCGTCTGCCACGGGCATGCGACATGTGTAAACGAAAGAAAGGTAGATTCTAACTGATATCTTGAACTGCCGGCTGATAAACTGATGGCCTGTCTTGTAGTTCGCTGTACGCGGCACTTTCGTATTCATCGCAAACGCTTCTCAATTCATGCTTTACAGGCGACAGCGAGCAAATGCCGGGAAAACGGTGCACGAACTGTATCAGCTTCAATTACACATGCACACATATCGAAGCCTTGAATGTAACGTACTCTGATTTATGTCCCTGATTTTCGTATAACATGTCCTACGTCAGAGCATGGGATCGGCGAAGGGGTACGCTTCTTTGCCTAACGATCGTCGCCGCTACACGAAAAGTAACCAACTGAACTAGTTACGTGCAACGGCTTGAAAGGCGGCTCAGAAAACTAGAGTCATTGTTCAAACGTGTTAGTTGTTCTCTCCTTCTCTACCAGTGGAAGGTTGCTCATCTCGCTACTCAGTTCCTACCCGACGTCGATATGGACACTGAACTGACAGAAGGTTCCACAGATGATGAATCGTCTAGTTCAAAGTTTTCGCGGACAGAATACTATGACCAAAGGGTGTCAGTTCTGAGCAATGAGGTGAACAGGCTTCTCTCAATGTCCCCAGAGAAGCACTTCTTTGGAAAATCATGGTAGGGTTTGCCTTTAATGATTACATTTCCTTGCTAAAATCTCTTCCACAGTTGCATCCCTTACATCCCCTTGATAATACAAAAGAGGGCCCAGTACCTCGGAAAGGAAAAAATAGATCCGATACATCAAACTCTTTCCATAAAACGGCGAGAACAATTTTGGGATGTCCAATCAGTGGGTGCATTTCATAAGTCATGCAATTCGTTTGTTCAATTAAATGCAACAGTATTATTCTCTAAAAATAGATGACTCCTTGCCCGATTATCTCTTCCCTGACGAAGACCTCATGTCAGCCCTTGTAGATCTCTACTTCACCTATCACAACTGCTATCTGCCCCTTCTGCATCGGCCCACGTTCGAGAACGACATGAATGCTGGTTTACATCTGAGCGATTATATGTTCGCGGGTACTTTACTCCTCGTATGTGCCCTTGGCGCGCGGAACTCGTATGATCCGCGGGTCTTTGACGAGTGCAACGGGGAAGCAGGTTGGCAATGGTTTGAACAAATAACACCATTTCGATCATCATTACACGATAGAAGTGCCACAACCCTTTACGAACTTCAGATACACTGTGTACGTCTCCTGTCATTCAACTAGAGCAAATCAATGGCTAACACGTGTCTCAGCTATCTTCGTTGTACCTAGAGTCAGTAGGCCTCTGGGAGTCTGTTTGGACGCAAGTGGGCCTAGCGTTGCGCTTGGCCCAGAATGTTGGCGCGCATATGCATCGCAATAACCCTCCGAATGCCAGAGACGAACTGTGGAAGCGCGTGTTTTGGTATATCTTCTCTCACTCTTGTTCTGGATTGCTTTAAAATGTTATGTAGGGTCCTTATGTTCCTCGACGTGTCGTTAGCATGCCTTTACGGACACGCCGTAACTCTGCATTACGAAGAGTAAGCAACGATCTTTCCTTTCCTTCTGTGTCTGTTATGAAACGCCTATCCTCAGCTTTGATCTCGACTTCCCATTGGAATGCGATGACGCGTTTTGGAACCATCCGGATCCTACGCTGAATTTCACTCAACCGTCACAGCAGCCCAGCCAGATCTCCTTTTTTGTGTATCTGTTAAAATTGGTGAATATCATGAGCTACATCAAAGATATCGTTGTCCGTGCATTCCATGTTGTATCTTGATTTTAGACTAAGAATACCTTAGTATTATACTAGGAAACCGCTCATGGTCCTTGATGGTCAACATCGTCCTCCTGAGACTGAGATTGTATCCAACATCGACTCAGTCTTAGATCGGTGGGTGAACTCTATCCCAGGCCACTGTGTGTACTTCCCTCCGTTTTGTATGGATAGTCTGGCTAAACATTTACAGTACGATGGGATCCTGGCCGGAAGGAACAGCTTTTCTTCCATCAGTCTGGATTTTTATACATAACCTATCAATACACCCGGATATTGCTGCACAGACCGTACATCCCACAGACCTTCGACAGAAAAACTCCCTTGACTCTATATCCTTCAGTTGCGACCTGCATGGAGGCGGCGATGTCGTGTTTGGACGTCATCAATGTGCAGAAACAGAGAGGATACATCGAGTCATTGAGTGTAGTTGTACGTCTGAGGTCTTCTCCTTTTGCAATCAATCTGTATTGATGTAAACAGGCCTTTGTGAACTCGGCCACTCTGGTACTTCTGCTGATCTTTTGGAGCGGATATGGTTCAGGCAACGATCCATCGGCAAGCAGAGAAATGCAGAGCGTTTTCGTTTGTATGGAGATGATGAAGGCGATCGAAGATCGGTAAGTACATCTCGTCAATGTTGAGAACGAATGCATCTGATTTTGGATGTAGGCTGCCTTCTGCAGGCGCTTTCTGGTGAGTAACTCTATGACTGCGTGAGAAGTTAGATGTTGAAACGGAAGGCTTAACAGGGACGTGCTTTCGGAGTTAGTTTCTTCCGAACTGTCCAATGAGGCCCCTCAGTCGGCGAGTCTTGTACAGCCATCAACGTACAAGAAGCGTCCTCGAGAGGCCCCTCAGCCCCAGGGCCCCATGCAATCCCAGTCGTACTATCCGACGGAATTTCTGCCGTCGCAGGAGTTTGTATCCCCGGATACATGGACGTCCCAACTCACGCTGGAGACACAGCCGCTAGTAACGTACTCATCATCGACGTCAGGATCCACGGCATACGTACCGTCGACGGAATATAATCCACTAGCCACTTACGTACAGGATTCGACTGCTTATACGCCGGCTCCTCAACCATTCTTCCCCGACATATGGTCAACGGAAGGAAACCCTGAGTGAGTAGCGGCCGCTTGTTGGTCGACTTTGTGCTGATTATTTTGCCAATAGCGCTAGCTTTGACCTGGAATCTTTCTTTTATCACCCAAATCGTTGAAACAAAACCCTGCAATCTGTAGATTATCTCTCATTTAGAATCTGTATCTTAGGGAGGACTGTATGTCGTTGTATTAACAGAAATCATTGCTGACCGCCTGACTCTTGTCGATTCTTCGGGGTACCGTCAAGTCTGAGTGTCTCAACCGTCGCGTCTGAATGCGATTGTTTGCTTTAGCCCACGCTGGTTTCAAAATCTCGACTTGCGTTTAAAATAAAGCCAATAACGAGAACGTATTCAGTCCGAGTCGACGTCTGCTGAGTGATCTGACGGAATCGAAGCGCGTTGCCGTTCTGCAGTTCGTTTTACCACTGAGGAACCGTTTCGCCGCTGAATGGTCGACACTATCCATCAGATTTTCTCGCTTGTTACTACCTGATGGTAAGCTTGCACATCGCCCGCGCGTTCCTCTGTTCTGAACTCATGGATCTGTGTGTTCCTGTTATTGGTTTTGTAATGTCCGAGTCAGCGTGCACCGAGATACTATGAATGATACTTCGACCGAATAAATGGTACAAACGGCAACCTGTAACTAACCTAATTTAAAGCGGATACAATAAAGATTAAGGCGTTCAATCATCTATTTATCAGAATCCGACGCATCAGAGCCCGATTCTGTGTTCTCCTGTTCGGCTTCACCGTCCTTGTCTTCAGTGCTCCCATGTGAGTCGTCAGAATCGGCGTCAACGACCGAGTCAGATTCCGTGCTCGAGCTCAAATCCGAGTCTCCCTCAAAGCCCCGATACATGTCAAGCAAATCATACAGGTAGGTGTCAAAGTCAAAAAGTGCAACGTGCATAGTTTCCATCTGTCCTTCCAATGCAAAAGCAGGGGTCCCGTATGCCGCATAATAATCCTGGTCCAACTTCGGCTGACGGATACCATGCCTTTATGTACGTGAGTAACAAGTGCAAGGTAGGTCGGTGGACGGGACATACGACAATAGAATGTGATTCTCCACGTTCCACGTCCCCGTGTCTTTATAACCACCAAGACGTTCCATAGGAAGGTCATGGCAGTGGATACACTTCCAAACAGTTTTTCCCATTGGTCGAATGTCATAATAGTTAATGGGAATGTCGTCGTCTGAAAGGAAAATCTCAACATGTCGCGAGAATCTACCACTGTCCCAGAAATGGCGTTCGAATACATGTATGGCCTGAAAAAGAGAGCAAATAAGCGAGTGTTCCAAGAACTACGCAAGAGGCTCACATATTCCCGCCAATTGTACAATATGAACATTTTCGAATATCTGGTAATCGGGTCGCTTTCACAGAGGAGGCAGTCAAATCGAGCGTCTGCATCATCCATGTCCTGGACAGTTGCAGTACTCGGGTCAAGTTCGACCAGTTGTATGATGGTCTCAACTATCGTCTTGAACTTGTCATTTTTTGCAAGGCAGGTCGTATTCCAGGGGACTCGCCAGCGCCATCGTTCATGGACAAGGTGAGAAGATTCGTCTGTCACCGAGCCACGTTTGTAACCAAGCGATGTGCACGCGTGAGTCAACATTTGAGGGTAAAAGAGAGGCACGAGCTCGCATTTGCCACCGTCATCCTCGTGGCCCCGATGCAGCCGATAGGATGAAACTGGGATAGTGCTGCAAGATGTACAAATCAACACATTACGTGCCAATTTTAAGTGTTTAAGGTAGGGAGTCTGTGAATCGGGCCCAACAATAAATTGGGACAACAAGCGACGGACGTAACCCCGCCAGCGTTGGCAAAGATAGGGTATTTGGGGAACTACCGCGGAGAAACTCTGTATGTTCACCACGACTTCCGAAGGGAGCTCCAAAACCTCACGCACGGGAGAGAAGGTACAGAAGTCGGCGATGGTGGGAAAGAAATGCTTAAGAGGATAATTCGTCGATTCATTCTTGTACTGACGAAGCACGGCAACGGCGACTGCTTTGCGTGTGTTGATCAGAGCCTCACGCTCTCTGGCAAGATGCTTAGCCCTCATTGACTCTGCCCAATGAACCATCTCGCCCTTGATATTGGCCCAGGCTGTATGATTCATTAATGAAGACCTCACGGTTTAGCTTCCAACAACATACCGCGATCAGTCAAAGGACTATTCTTTTTCACAAGAGGGTGCTCAGCAAAAGAATCGGGAAGCTCGACGCTTTGGAGATCTTTCTCATATCCAAGCTCCTTCAGTTTATCATAGATACTAGACGTTCCATCAGAAACACCGAAGTACTGTGGAGGGAACACTGACGCTGCTTTCCTGCTCTTTTTCAATGCATCGATCTCGTCCTGTCGATCACGCACACGTTGATTGTGCCACTGTGTGCAAATAACTGCATGCTATCAAAAAGTCAAAACGAATTTGAACGTGAGTGAAACCGGCGGAGCCTACATTACGATGCTCGAGCATATATGCAGACCGTTCTGCTTCGAATTGCGCATGTTCAACATCCGAGATGATAGTTGAGATCTTGGTCCAAATTGCGTCATATTCATATCGCAAAGCGAAACGATCAAGATGTTTGCGTGTCTGGCGTTGATACACTAAACAACGATATTATTTTAACCACCACCTGCATGAGCAAAAGGAGTGACGTACTGGTATGATGGGTAGGGATAAAATTAAAGACGTTCTGAATCATTGATTTCTCTGAGCTCGTAGCTTCATAGAGAAGTTCATCTAGTCCGACCAGCCTGCAAACCCAGGCATATGAGAAAAGCCCCCCCAAAATAAATGAATTTTGACGTGACGCACCGCGTTTTGGCACAAGCAGGACATAGACGTGCCTTCAGATACATATCAGGATGCCGAACGATCTTCGTGCAGTACTACAATCAAAACAGATTAGATACAGTCCAAGGCCCATACTACTCACGTACGTGACATTCTGCCATAAACGCGAGATTAACCCATGCAGGCTCCGACATAGTGGGATAAGGCCCCGGAAACCCTTCAAGGTTCGAGCGTGCCGATTTCCATGCGCATATAGTCGATCTGCTCATGAGAACCCTTCGAAAATCCTTGCTGAGACGCGCCAGATGCAAGAGATCCAATGGATTGAGCAAGCCAAAGATCTTTCCGTTCATTCTTCGGTCCATGCCGCGTGAAAGGGAAACGAGACTCACCTCGAGAAGGATATCTAGGGGCAGCTCCACGAATGCGGAGAGCTTTCCTACAGAGCGCCGGCCGCCCTTAACGGCCCGCACAACGGCCTTTACAGGAATGTTCTCTTTGCCTTCGTCATCGACGGCCTTGCGGCGCTTGCGCGGTGGTGGCATGGAACGCTCTGAGTGATGGAGGAAAGGAGGCAAAAAAAGCGTGGGACTCGGCAGTCCCGGCACTGACGCGCAAATGTTAAACGCGTGACCGTGTCGATTGCTCTAAATAGTAATACTAATATTGACATTCAAATTATTCAAAATTTGCATTTCTTCCTTCGTTCACTCGCTACAAACTATTTAGTATAAGACAGAATCGAACAGTTATATACCCATCTTTAGATTTCTTTTAGGCGTAAGAGAGAGGGCTAGGAGTGGGTGGGAGGGTAGAGAAAGTAGATCGATCTAAACACACAAGAGGTACACACACTATTTCCAAATAAGAGATGAGGAGATATAAAAATGAAGGATAGGACGAATGTCAAGCACAGTGGGAACTGCCCACTGCCATTAATATGATGGCCAGGGTATACCACCTTCAGGTATAGTTCTTAGCGGAGTCCGATTGTAATCAGCCGCTGCAGAGCCTCGTCAGAATGTCTCCAATAGACAGAGTATTGCATACTCACTATTCATATATACATTGTTTCCCCACCAATTCAGCGACACGCCTCCGTTCGGGAACTAAAATAGATGATCAGCACATACAGCCCGGCCTTCTGCAGTGTGTACTCACTTGTAGAGTGAAGAAAATAAATATCAGCCCCAACACTGTTCCACAGTCCAGGGCTGCACTCGTAACATAGTTGAACTTGCTCCACCACGCAAAGTTCCTCTTCCTAATCATATACTGGAACACAACACCGACGACGAACCAACTCGAATAGTTTATCCCAGTCGCAGGAGGTATTCCAGAGACACCATTCAATACGATTGGAGTAGACACATATTTTGCCCATGAATTCGGATGCCGTCGTTGCCATAACCAAAAGGGCAGTGGCAGGAAAGCGCCAACGATAATCGCGTATAGATGAGGATGGTAGATCGAACCAGTGCCAAACTGCCTCGTAGGGCCAATAAGGCCCCACACCGCTGAGGCCGTATAAAAGACTTGGTTGTGCGGACACGTAAGGTTACTCTTTTGATGTTCCGAACAAATGTCGGGGACATTTGCGAATATCCAAGTCTTCACGCCAACTTGCACGAACGCGGCTAATACCGTGCCTACCAATTGGACTGTTTCCAAGTTAGCATTGATAAATGACAAAGGGAGTGTGGCTTACCAACAAATGTGGCTCTTGGCGGCACTTTGATATAGTGACCCAACTTCAAGTCCTGAACGAATGATGTAGCCTCCGTCAATGTCTGGACGGAATACGATTTGAACACCATATTTGCGAGCGGGTTTCCTGGTACAAGCGTTCCAGGGATGATTTGAGCTAAGATGTTCAGGGTGATCTATGTATCGTCAGAACTCGTTATCTCATCAGGTAGGTTTACGGCTTACTCCTTGACCAGTCATGGCGTAGATAAAGCCACTTGGTAGAATGTAGATGATAGGTAAAAGCAATGCCAGGAGTAAGGCGTAGACAGGCACTCCAGTATTCCATACTTCGACGGCAACGATTGCTAGAGAGAAGAAAGCGACGAAAGAGATGATATACCACCAGTCTGGGACCTCAGGATAGTTCCTCATTAATTTGGCGTGAATATCGTCCTTCTCGATCCGCATCTTTTTGACGCCGTTCAAGAGAGACTTGCCGTGATACAGGATGGTGTGTGTGATAACACATGTGCACAGAGCAAACGCGATCAGGTAGCACATGGCATAGGTTGCCGGGAGATAAAGAGGCGAGTAGTTATAGTAGGCTTCGCTGTCGAAAGTATCGTCCTTCTGGAGGACAAGAGAAATGTTGTAGACATTCCCAAACCGATCGTAAGGCTCGTTTGCTGAAATAGGGAAATAGGAAAGATCCCACGACTACAAGATCATTCCGGATGTCAAACAAAATAGCATGCCAGAACACAGACGGGACTTACGTTGGTGTAATACAGGATGGGCGTCAAAATCCAGTAAAAGACAACAAACCCAACAGCTACGTGCACTTGGGCCCACCATGGAACTGCGCAGTAGTCATCAGATCGGTCCGATGCTGAATTGAAGGAAGAGCTTACCCATCAACGGACTGCCAATCCAGCTGATCTGAGTCCAATCAAATGTCAGGACACTCATGCCCATACCACTGTACACCCCGAATAACTGGTTGACGGGAACATTGTTCGGCCAAGCCCAACATAAGAAGGAGAACACTGATACGGCAGAGAATAGAAAACCTGTGAAAGTCGGATAAGCACGACAACCCTGGGAAAAGTGAACCGCACAGACCGGGCACGAAAGACCAGAAGAAGACACCAATCATCATCCACATGAAAAACCTGAATCGCGTCATTCCAATCGTCCGTTCAGTGATACTCGGTATAACATCTTCAGAGTCTTCTTCGGCGTGCAGAGTGTTGAGTAAAGTGCATGCTACAAGGTTCTGAGGCCAGACCATAGAAGCAGGCCACACCAAAAAGCGTCGACAGACGCCGGCCAAACCGAAACCAGTGAGCTGGGTGGCTAAAACGAGAACCAAACTGAACCAGTAGCCCAATTTCAAATCGTAGTATACTTCGGCAACCACGATCGCGTAAAGAGCGTAGGGGTTGCTGACGGCGACGTTAGCCATGATGAACACAAGCACATGCTCCTTGATGTTCCATGGACCAGGATTGAGGGAAAATTCAAAGGAAGGCGAGGCGGAAGGGGAAAGAGGAGCAAAGAGTGCGTGCAGTATTCTTCTGGGTGATAAGATGTACGCAAGGCGAACGATGAGAGGTGCCGGATACTGAGGGGCTACAGGCGGCGTAGGTACGAGAAAAGAGGGTATGTGAGGGAGTGGTATGCGATAGACAGTAATAGGGAGTGTGAAAGCAAGAAACTTGCCAAGGGGATAGGAGAGAAGTAGGAGGGCCAGAGGAACGACGGAAGGCGCGGGAGAGCGGAAATTGAAGAACACATTGAGAGCGCCACTGATTAGACAGAGGAAGAGCCCAACAAACCACATACGAAATGTTAAGGCGGGCATGTCCGGGTCGTCGATATTCGATACCGATGCCCGGACCTCAGGGTACGGCGAGTCCTCTTCTTCGATAGCATCGAAGTCAAAGTGCATTCTGTGTCAGTGATAAGCACCCACACATAGGGAACGGCAAAGAAGGGAGACACACTTGATACTCGCTTCCCGGCCTCCGTCGTGATCAATATCGTCAAAGTCGTCGTCAACATAGCTCTCCCCGATACTGGGGCTCCCCCTACTTGACTTGGTATGAAGTCGCATCTCCGCCTCCGCCTCAATGCCCTTCTCGCTTCCAGCGCTCGGCAGCGAGACATGTACCTCCACGGACGATTGGGGGGTCTGTCGCTGGATCCTCGTCATTCCATATGGATCGTCATTGGATTGCGAGTCAGTTGAGGGTGGCGTCAACGGCTGCGATAAGGCCTGATGAACAACGCGACCCGCCTGTGTCGAATCGGCTGGAAAACGGGCATATGGATCGAATATCGGTGAAGGGTATGTTGGCGCAGAGCCTGTGCGTGGAGGCTCGTCTGGGTAACCATAGACATGCAGCTGGGACTGCTGTTGCTGTTGCTGCTCTGCTGTGCTCGGGGGCAGAAATGCAAAAACATCTCCGTCGTCGCTATCTTCGTCGTCGTCGACATCATCGTAGTAATCGTTGTATAGCTGGGGAGCGGGGCCAGCACTGGTCACTGGCCTTGACGTCGTTGGGCGTAGTTGGCTAGAGGACGTAGGCAGTCTGTGCATGGCTAGGGAATAGGAAGGGCGAGCAGCTTGGGCAGCACAGAACAGCAGAGATTGATCCAATGAGCAACGCTTGCATCCAGGCACATTTACCTGTGTTTGTGCCTGTCACGCCGTCACGCCACAGGAACATTCATCCGTTTATGGTGCATTTTCACTCCGCCACATCGTTCTCGCGTTGTCACAGCCGCTCTGTAGCCTCACAAGGCCTCATTAAAGTCATCTCGGGAAAAAAGGCGTCCTTTTACCCAGGCTGTTCCCCTTCCAGAGTCTTCCCAGGGATCGCCAGCCGTGGCAGCTTTCCTGATCCTTTGACACAGGAGGTGCCTCCTGTGCGTCGGAATGCAGAATGTTGTATGCCAAGATAACACGGTGTGTCGGTAGTATTATTCCTCTGTCCGGCTCCCACGCAAAATCAAGAACCATTGCGAATATGTTTTCTCAATAATAACGGTCCTTCGGTAACTTAGCGTGTCGGTCAATCTACTAAATGACATACCTATTATCGAAATAAAAGGACATCTGCCGAATTTCCCCGGCTATTCTCCATGTTTTCGGTAGCCATCACAAGCGCCGCCAACCCGCGATCTGCGCGCCTAGAAACGTCATGTCCAACCCGGGCTCAGCGGCGGAGCTGATCCCAGCTTCTACGGATCTTTTCGTCAGGGTATAGCTGTGCAAGGGAACAGTTGCGCCACGTTTCCTTCTCTAAGTTCAGAGTGAGTTCTGATCCGTTAAATAGATCTTCGTGAGTACTAGTGGTGCGAGACGAAGGCGGGAAAGGGGTGTATCTGCTTAGTCAGTATCAATCAGATGTGCATAGTGCATAGCGCTAGTACTGATTAGGCCTTGATTAGTAATCGAGAGTCGTTGAGGAATTGCACAGTACGTTGATGATGATGAAAATCTATATTGGTAACCCGCAACACGCCTCGTTATGGGCGAAGACGCGGTATTCCACAGTACGATAAACCAGCACTTTTTCATGACAGGCGGATCCTCCACCAAGGATATGCCGGAAACAAACAACAGGACAACGAGTTATGGACTTGATTTAAGGCTCGGAGTTGATCACTTTCATCAAACTGCGATTCCCGTGAGGATTTCGAGCATAGCCAAACAGTTCGATTGTTTCAACACCCCAAAAGTATTCGAGAAGCTGTGCATGGAAACTTTGTATGGTACTTAGATTCAGAGGGAATTTCGAAACCAGACCTCTGAGACCTATGTAGAAACGGGAGAAAGCCGAGGGGTGTAGGCCGGACGAGAGGAGCATAAGCGGGGAGTAGAAGATAAGGGAGCCGTAAGATAGAAAAACAGGGGAATGCATCATGCAAGCAAGAGCAAATGGGCCAACAACACCCCGCCCGAGAACAGCCACTCGACCATAGCCCAAGTACATGGCAGAGGTACAAGGTACCAGAGGCAATTTAACATTTAATTTGGTGCGTAATAATGCTCCTGCATAATTCTTGTAAATGACTGTCAGGCTGCATCAGTAAGTAACGCAACACGTACGCGCTCGGTAAGTACGGACAACCGTTCTACAACCATCTTTGCAACAGGTTTTCAAGACATTATAATCCCGGAAGGTCCCTGGAACCAGTCCCGCGTCGGTGAGGATCGTCGGAGGTGACAAGTTACATACTCGACGGAGAGAACAATAGTACCATGCAGGGTCCGAATCTGCTCAACAACTTTATGACCCTTGCAAATGCATCCCTTGATTGATACCTATTCAATTTTTGTGCACATAGTCCCTGTACCATCCTTAGTCGTCGGCTGCGCAGGAAACCCGACCAAAGTCCCCACAGGACGTATTCGCTTGAACCATTCCGTAGTACGTTCACGGGCCCCGGCCAAACCCTTGATCAGTAAATCCTTCGACTTGGATAACTGGACCATCATAATCAGCTAATAATACTCGACCAAGGTATCAGTAGCCTACCTTCTGATGCTCTGATGCGCGGCTGAAGTGTCGACTTACCATATCGGCCTCTTTCAGCCGTGCATCGGAATCCGCAAAGGGGTTTTCGTCTTCTTTTGTACAATCGTAAGACGTGCCTGTTGCTATACGAACCGGAGTTTCATCACGAGAACTTTCGTCGAAGAAAAGTAGCATTGATCGCCGGAGTGGTAGGAACGGACTCACCCTAACACCACCCTTCCGTACCAGGAGCTGCGATCGATCGCAATAAAGTTCCATGAAAGTGAAATAACATAAAAAGAAAAGCTGTCGGCTAAGGGAACGAAGGAACTTGAAGACGGACGGGCTGGCTGGGCTATTACATCCGGAATTTGTAATTCAAGAACTTCTCGCTAGCGCTTATCCGTTCAGGCAGTTTCGAGAGACCGATAACGCTATTGCACACTGGAGGACGCTGAGGACAGTGGTGACTCGTCGAGATTGAACAGTGAGGATGCCTCACGATCACGACGCGTCGCGTACCCGCGAGCGGCATAAGGCTAGCTACATATGAGCGATACTTGATGTGTTTAGATCATCTGAGGATACTCTTATGGTAAACAGCTGAAACATTTGATATTTTTGTAGCCATAGATACCTTGTATGTAAGAATGGCTATGCTATGTTTAGCTGGGACTAGATGGTGCAAATAATACATAAATCCAGGATTTACAGAAAAGACATTAAAAGCCAAATCAGTTATAGAAAGAGTCATTGAAATGAAATTGGTAACTGAGTCCTTAGCTTGTTAGAGATGCATGAGTATTGAAGATGGTGGTTTGGCATATGATTGCAGCAGGTATCAGACTGGCAGAAGTTGAAATTCCCATGATCCCAGTCTCTATATTGCACTGTTGATAAGCCTTCTGGCTCAGTATGCTCAGATTTTGCAGATTTCAAATATTATTTTTTGCTGCTGTCCAGTAGATGGACTTTCAGGAAATAAACCATTATCATTTCAATCCAGCTTGAACCAAGCAAAATAAGCTATTCTATCAACTTTCACTCTCATTTTCTATCTCAGTGTGCTATCACCAGACACATTTGATCATAGATCCTCTATTAATATCCTGTGGCTATATCACAATCTAGACCCTGCACTGCTCTGATGCCTGATTAGGCTATGATATCATGATTGCCATTGTGCAAAGCCTGATGGACAAGTATGAACCTATGGAGAAATCTGAAACTAGTGATTGCTCAAGAACCAATGCCTTTCAAGGGCAAGAGTGTGAACTTAAACTGCTTTTTCAACTAGTGCAAAAACCACTTTGAAATCTACAGCACTTTTTTCATTATAAATGCTAATAGCTTTAGTTTGCACTGAGTTATTTTCTGCATCTCACAGTTCAAGAGCAAAATGCACAAGTGGTGGGACTATTAGGATTCTCATCTATATGACTGAGTCACTGTCTGATAGCAGTATCTATCATATCCAGACTTCAAGATTATAGTGAATAGCTGATTAAAGAAGAACACAGAGATGAAGCTCTATCAGATCAAGTGGAGGGCACTCTGACAGTTCAACTATTGGAATGCTAAGAATTCTTTTAGAAGTTTGAGAAGTTAGCCTATCAGACCAGAAAATTAGAGGATCAGTCCATGATGCTGAAACAGGTGAAGATTATAATGCATCTCAATATTAAGAACACTATCATGTCAGGCAATAATGATATTTTGATCACATACAATGAGTGGAAGCACTGAGTCCTATGAATAGACTATTATTACAATTTTTCACCTTATCATTAACCCTAGACCCTTATTTATGCTTAGTCAGAGTGCTAACACAAGTGCTTAGAACCATGGGATAAGACTTAGTCATCACAACTAGCCAACTCTGTCATTGTTTCTCAACATGACCAGCATCCAATGACATATAATCAGCCTTTTATGTGCAGTAACAATGCTCTAAGACAAAGGGCACCATGAACATAGGAGCACACAATTAGTCATAGTATTTTTAGTGTGACTTGTACAATATTTAAGACTGCTCACTTTTACTGGTAATCCTCAGCTTTGAGCTAAAGTTTATTCTATGCCATTCTCTCTTGAGCCAACCCTCTTGGTCTTGTGACACATCAATCAGATTATGCATCAGTAAATCCAGCTGATCCCTCAAAGTGCAAAGGGACAGCTGTTTATCATGTGTATCTGTTCATGTGACACTTGAGTCTAACAATTAGCTCAAAGCTTCTCTTTCCTTTTTCTCATGCCTACTAGCACAGAGAAAACTGAATGCTCTCTATCAATCCCTCAGATCTGAACTTTGATCACAAGTTCTTTGAACTTCTCGCCTTTATCATCAGAACATTGTTGGGATTATTGGTGATCATCCAGCTGTGCTGGGGATGCCATTCAATTACCACCTGAGCCATTGGACACTATAATGAGTTTCAATATATTTGGCATATCTTATGAAATATAACTCCTAACCTTCCACTTCATAACATCCCCAAATCCTGATGAATGTTCCACCAGCCTCTGATAAGCCCTTTACCAGAAGCTGAGCCTAGCAGCTCACATCAAGGGGACATTCAGAAAGAAGAAAGACACTAATACCCTCCCCAACAACTTAGCAGAGACCATGACTCTCACCTTGCAGAATTCTGAAACCTATGGGTTGCTGGACCCCCATCTGACCATGAAAACAAAAAGATCCTGAGAGACTTTTTTCAGCAGTCTCTCTCTCCCAACTATACCTCTGCCCCTCCAACTGAAGGGATTAGTGACCATGCCAGAAATTTCCTCAGTCCCACTCAGATGGCTGCAAGATCCTGATGATATGCAGGCTACATGTCCAGCCCTATAATTTGCAAATTCTGCATAACACACTAGAATATGCTAGTAACTGAGAATCATTAGCCAGTAGAGGACTATGGCTGAGGCTCCAAGCTGATAGTCATGCTAGTCACCAATACTAAGTCCAAAAGGGACTTTGTAAAATAACATGGCCTAAGAATAAAAATCCTAAGTCAGGTTTGAACTTAGAAAAGTTCAGCACCACACCTTGGAAAATACTAAGTCCAAGTTGGACTTAGAAATAGTACCTCAAATAGAGTCAATTCTACATGCCACTAAGATGAGTATATTCTAAGACAGCTAGAGGTATAATACCATAGCCAGTTGTGGAGTATTGAGTAGAGATAGCATCATTCAGGAGCAGTAAGAAGTGAGACCCAATGATCTGTGGCTAGCACTGTGAGTTTTGACTCAAATGCCTAAGTCCAAATTTCCTAGGTATCAGGTGACCTAAGGGACTTAGAATTGAGAGGAATAGAGTGGATAGGACTGGTTGACTGGGCCTGATCAGGCCTGATGGATCAAGCTACTAAGAATAACTCAGAGGATTAAAACTTTGAGTAGACAGAAAGGAGTTAGGTACCCACAGGCACTGTAGGCTTAAAATAAAGCTGTGTGGTGGCCAGATGGGTCTGGGCAAGCCTAGGGGAGTCCAGGAGTGCTGCCATTCTGGAATAATGACATGATTCTGCTTTAAAACAGGAGAAATATTATTTTGAATGCTTTATTTATAGATTCTGTACCTGTTGTTGGTGTATAAAAGAAGGGAATGGGGGGGAAATAGGAAGCAAGCGACCCACCCCCACATTCAGGCCTTCTAGCCCACTGTAGCTAGTCCCTGGGATAATGGATTTTGAGTTCTGCTTCGAC